TGTGTGTCGTGTATGTTTGTTTGGGTGTTTTTGGACTGTTATGTATTTTGCACTGACACTAAAAGCTATTTGTAAATTTCGTGGCTGCAATTATGTTTGCTGTGCTGTGTGTGGCCATCACAGTTTCCTCCTCCACTTCTCCACCACTTGGCGCACTTAACACATTCCCGGGACAACGCCATGCTCTGTCCCTCCTACCATCCCTCTTGGCCCGTTTTTTTGGCTGGCCATGTGGCTTTACTGGTTATTATTAGTTTGCTGCGGTTTGCTGCACTGTGTCCATGGGGTCTATCCTTTCTTAGTGCCGACCACATCATGCATATATGCAAATAACCTCGTGCATATAAATGTTTGCACTATCGGCTATAACATTTCTCTTTCTGGCTGCTCTTTCTGTATCTGTATTAAAGTTTCCTCTACTGTTTTTTGGCATACATTTCGAGAGTTCCAGTAGCTACATTTTTGGCTACCATTTTTGCCACATTATACCGATTTCCATGCAACTCTTTCCCCCATGCTCGCGCTACTTTATTCGCCACATTTTGTATATTTAAATAAGCCTCACTTTTTTGTTGCGGTGTTGCATACAATTTAAGTTAATTTCAGATATTCCCGTCAGCTGGTCGGAAGTGACGAGCATAACATGAATTGCCTATCGGCAGTTTAACCGACACGTGGCCACTTTTTTCACACACTCTCCGCTCTCTTGCTCTTTAGCAAACTCTCTCGGGGCGATATGGCCAACTGCAAACATCCGGTTGCCATTTAAATTATTGCATCCGTTCCATTAAAAATACAACAACAAAAAAGAGACGCTATAAATTAACAGTAGCCTCAGGCGCCTGAACGGCCAGGTAGGAAAAAGTGTAGCCGACAAAAATATCTAATAATTTGCCATCGTCTGTGTTTCTGGAGAGCAGATGCTGCGTTGAGGTTTACTTAAAATATGCCAAACAAATTATGTTCACACTTCAACGAAGGCCGAACTTCGATGGCGCCGCCTGGCCCATATCGAGAGAGTGAGACTCGGTCTTCTCTGGCCGCTCGTTCTCCCTTTTTAGGGTGCTCTACAAATCATTCCGAGGGGGCATGAATTATTGCTGGGGGAGCTTAGAACGTGCTCACAGCGTTAAAGTGTCATTACTGGGCTTAATGAGTCGGCCAACTGCACAAGAACGCGCTCGCACACTCACACACACACACACACACTCACACACTCCAGAGAAAAGTGGAGAGACAAAATGAAGAGAGATACTGAAAAAAGAGACAGTAACACCAAAGAAAGACTTAAGAGAAGGAGCAGCCGGAAAGAGCGAAAGATGGCGAGAAAGTGAAAAAATGTGTAGCATGCAAACAGGCGCAAACTACATTGTTCATTGTCTGCCTCTAATTTATGTGGCTGCTCTTCTGGTCAGCCAGGACCCAATAAATAATAGTTCTTGCGGCGTGGACCGACGCTTAGGCGATAGGGTATCATTGGGTATATTGGGTGGATTGGCTGGAAAGAAGGAAATGGAGTTTTTTTGAATATTTGGTAGGCTTCCTTAGCTTACTTTCTTTCGTATTTGAATTCAAGAATTATTCATTTGAAACAAATGCATCTTCCCCATCCAGGATACTACTTAGTCCATATTTCCCCACACTTTTCACTTACTTTTCACCAACAACCAAATTAAATAGATGGCTCGTCTGCACCATTGTTGCTTCTTGTCTTGATTAGTTACGTCCCGACATGGAAAAACAAACCTATTAACACTCATACGTCACGTTGTCTGCGGGTGAGTGCAATCCTAAGCATCTAGAGGCGCCTCGAGTAGCAGCTCACTGCCCAAACCACACAGCACTCTCGACTCCGCTGGACACATAAATTGTGGCACCCAAAATGCATAAACCAAGCATGTCGCGCAATCATTTTCAGCTGCCACGTGCCGCGGCATACATTTTGTGCATTTTATGGGGGGGTTGGACTCCTAGACTCAGACTGCAACCTCCAACTGCTTCGCCTTCGACTGATGCTTTGCCTGCAGCTGCAGCTGGCGGGCTACTTTGGCCAAAAACAAGAACAAACAAATGGCCAGAAATGGGTGGAGGTATGGAAAAGCTTCAGCTAAAAGTTGGGGGGTTGGGTAGAATTTTAAAGCTGATTACTCAATAACTTTGCCTTGGAGTGCATAAAATGCGAAGCATATCCTTCGAGTGCATAACTCCTTGCGCGCGCCCCCGTGGCAAGAGCAGAGCTTTCAGTTGCCTTGCCACTCGTTTTATGTGCACTTAAATTGTGTTTGTTATTAAAGTCTGTACGGGGCTCCTCCTGGTGCTTCAGGTCCTGGAAGAGCCTCTGATTTTGCTCCTGATTCTCCATTGGTTCTTCTGTTCGCCTGTTGTTGTTTTCCACCTGGACCAAATGAAATTTATGCTCAAATTGAGTTGCGTTTCGTGTGCGTCGAAGTGTTTTTCCTCGGGCTCGGGCTCAGGCTCCGGCTCAAGCTCCGGCTCCTACTTGGCAACCTTTTTCACATAATTTGAGACACTTAAGTGAATAATTTATGCTTGCAACATAATTGAGTTGCAGCTGCCACTGGCTCAGGCTCTGGCTCAAGCAGCACTTAAGCCCTCCAGCAAAGTAAGATGCACCAAAAATATCAACAAAGTAGAAGAACTAAAAGAAATTTGTGGCATGTTTCTAGTAAAACAAGATATGAAAAACAGTCTTGATTTAATGGAAATGTCAATGGAGGTTAATGGAGTTGAATGGAGAAGGCTTATTTATTGAAGAATGAATGCAATACTCTCTACACCACATCTTCGCATGTATTTTAATATTTTAAACATATGTGAACTTTAATAGAAACCGCATACATTTTTATATATTTTATTACATGCCTGACTAAAAGTGGAAAAAATTCCATACCTCGATTCAGTTTCCATCGTCAGCAGTTATTCAATTTGAAAATTAGAAAAATGTGTAACAATTTTTTCAACAAGGCCTGTCAAAGTCACTTCAATGTTCCAAACCCCAAAAAAAACTGTACAACAAATGGATTTGGGGGTTTAACCCTTTCTAACAAGCCGCCCAATTGTATGATGCTCCTATTTTATTATTTAAATGTGCAGAAAATTCAATTAGGCCACAGTTAAAAACAACAAGGCCACGCACACACTCACACGCGTGAAAAATAGTGGAGTCCATGCCACATGGCTGAAATTCAATTACAACCGCTAATGCCACTTGTATTGGGCTGAAGTCCCGCGCGACCGCAGACTCTGTTCAGCTCTAAATACCTGTAATCCGGAAAATTTAATTTGATAAAAAGTTGAACTTCAATAAGCGCCAAAGTTGCCCATGGTCGTCGGCCATTATAATTGTGGTCTCGTCTGGCTCTGTAACTGTGTGTGTGTGTGTGTGAGTGTTGACCAGTTTTTGCTGAGCGGCCACCACAGTGCAGACCGCAAGCAAATATGATCAGACATCCGACGAGTGACGGCAATAAGCAACAGCCAAAAAAAAAACAAAAACAAAAACAAAAAGTGAAAGCCCCAGTCAGAACGAGTGGCAACACGGCGGATGAATACGGCTTATGCAAGCAAATGTACACACTGACACACCTCTCACGCATACTGGCAGCACAGCACTTACCTACACAGACACAGCTCTCATTCTCCCTCACACACGCACACAGACGCGTTGACACGCGCAAATATCAAAAAACGTTAAGCTAAAAAAATCATAAAAATGTTGCATACTTTTCTGCGGTGGCTGAAAAATCCACTAAGTCTCGTGGCCCAACAAAAAACAAAGTTAAATAGTAAAAAAACAAAACAAAAAAACATACAACTATGAAATATATTAAATTAAGTGTGTGCTTAAAAATAAATTTATGAAATTAAGTTAACATTTACCCCAAGGGTGTGGAGTGCAGACTGCATTTTAATTTAATTTAGTTGCTAAATTTATTAACTAAAAACCCCGACTTTAAGCGGCGAGTTTCATTACAACCAAAATTGAAAAAAATATTTAATTAAATGCCCCAGGACACAGACACACAGAGAAACGAGCGGAGCACATTTTATAAAACGAGAAATCGCATTCTCAAACAATTTTGTGCAATGGAAAAAATTCTAATTTATTGAGTTAACGCCCATTTTTACACCCTCTGCACATGAACAGGATTTAGCCATCCCTCCACCACCCAGCTCATGGTCACGCCCGGTTGCATTCCACCAGCCATGACCATAACACAGTCTAAAAATCCTACATTCAACAAAAAAAATGGTTATACTATATTCAGAGGAAAAATTTAACGAAAAATTGCCCAACTCGCTGCGCCTTGGCCCCTGTCTGTCGTCGACAAATGAAATTTTCACGTTGCTGATGAGAGGCGATCCGATCCCAGAGACCCATAGAGAGAGAGAGACAGAGAACACATACGCATCCACCGCCGAACCCCTTTCTGAATTTACCACACAAACATTTTCGGTGTGTTCCGGCAAAGGCTGAACACAGAAAAAAAAAAAAAACAAATTAAAAACTTGCAAAAATTTTAATGGAATTTTTTTCCCCTATTTCCACGCTCTCAATCTGCCACTCCCTTCTGCTATGCCCCGCTCCGGTTGCTGGGTGTCATCCTGGCTGTCTTTGTTGGCGGTGGCGCTGGCGGTGGCGGTGGCATTGCGGAAATTGTTGTCCCCTTTGATTGTCAAGCGTCGGCTTACACACATAAACGTCACATCAGCATATAGGAACACGAATAATGGAATGGGGAGAGTGGCAGTCAGGCAGGGGATCAAAAATAAAGGTTTAGAAAAATATCCGACAGGTTTAGTGAAGTGCTGTCTTAACTGGCATTGAACTAAAGCTTTAAAATGGGTTTTTTGTATGCCAGAATATTGTTCAGTTTCTTTAGGTTTCTTTCTTTTATCAAGAATTGTATTTTGTCCTTTTAAAACTCATCTTATAGTATCTAAAATGTTCTTGTCAGGGTAAAACTAAATACAAAATATTTAAAAAATAATCAATAACCAGAATATATGTACAACATATTTACACAATTGCAGAGACTCCAACAATTGAGGCAGATCTAAAGCTATGGAACCCCCGTTTGAAAGAAAGACTACAGTTTATCCGGAGAATAGAAACTGTTCCACACTGGCTCAATCTTCTGCAGCTCTGGTAGTGTTTTGTACTCAAATTCACCGCCAATGTTTAGGCATTTGAAATTCGTTTCATTCTCGAGGGGTGCAAACTTGACCGACTTGATGCTCTCACAGTTGGGATCTCCATTGGCAGCGAAACTCGTCCAGATGTCGATCATACCCATGATGACCTTGTGCTCGGGCGAGTCCGGGGCCGACTGATGGGACAGCATACTGTGGAAGATGTAGCACAGGTCGTCGCCGTGGCAGACGCCGCGCATTTGATGGCCGCAGAGCACAATACGAATGGCATTGCAGAGCTTTGAGTCATAGTCGAAGCGGTACAGATAGGTGGGGGCACTGTCCTGGCGCACTCGAGCCAAGGCGGCACGATAGATGGGATGCCAGAACTCCCGATAAGAGCTGAGTTCGAGGAACTTCATCATGCTGGCCTGATTGCAGGGCTCGTCGGCGAAGTAGGCGCGCTTCAGCTGCAGGCCATAGTTTTCCCTCAGCTTGGGGTCCAGGTTGTTGCTTATATCGTTGGGCAGTAAGTTCTTGCAGTTTCCCACCTCATCCAAGGTGGCCGGACGACGGGATACCTCTGGGGAATAGAGGAAAATCGTGAATGAGAGTTCCTTTCGAAGAGAGAGCAAAACTAACCTGGATAAAAGAGCAAACCCTCGAAGCTGGTGCCTCCGAACATGATGGGCACCCTGTTGCTCCAGCTGTTCTGCATTAGCTCATGGGGTGGCTTATCGATCACCGTGTGCTCTGTGCTGTAGGGCTCCACGACAGGTCCAAATGCAAATAAAATTCGATTGTGCTTCTCATCCTTGCTCAAGACTGTGGCCGAGGCCTTGACTATTTCTCCACCATTTGCAGATCTCAAGAACTCAAAGATCGGCTTGTCCTTGTTATCCCCAGTGTAACCCAGTTTCTGGGCCAGACGATAGGCCCAATCATTCCTGGGGGGCTGCGCCCAAGGACACAATACACTGCCCGACATAACGATGGCCTTGTGGATCAATCCCTCTGTTTGAGCACTCAAAGTGAGGAAGTGGGTCGATGCTCCGCCAGCACTTTCGCCAAAGAGCGTCACATTCTTGGGATCCCCACCGAATGCTTCTATGTTCTGCTGCACCCATCGAAGGCCCATTATCTGATCCTTGAGTCCTGCATTTCCTGGCACATTCAACTGCGGATCGTCGAGACTTAGGAAGCCCAAGGCCCCCAGTCGATAGGCCACTGAGACCAGCACCACATCCTTGGACATGAAAAAGTCCGGACTGTACATGTCCCGAGAGGCTTCGCCCACCTGAAAGCCACCGCCATAGATCCAAACCATCACTGGACGCAGTTTATTCGGTTGTAGCTATGAAAAACAATATTCCAAAGATTAATACTTGATGGTTTCTCCTCTCCATTCGGTACTTACATCCTTGGCATACACATTCAGATACAGGCAATCCTCGGAGCCGGCGAATTTCTTAAAAAACATGTGTGTCTGCAGGGGTTTGTCGGCGGCCGAAGTGCAATCCAGCTCTCGATCCCATGGCTCCACTGGCTCTGGTGCCTTGAAACGCAGCTCTCCCACGGGGGGCTTGGCGAATGGTATCTTCTCGAAGCTAAAATAGCTTCCTCCCCAAATGGTATTCCGCTTTACACCGCGCACGGGGCCCAGATTTGTCTTGACCACAGAATATATGGCTGTGGCAAGCTTACGCTGCTCGTATTTGAAACTGAGGACCCTGAAAACGATGCAAGGAGTTGATTTGGATTAGAGTTTTCTATTAATGGCCTGACTTCCATTCCTATCTTCGATCCAAAAGCGCACTCTTCCACACTCTTCTACTTGATTTGTGAATCTAACCCATTGAAAGGCAGTCACGCATTGGGGCCATGCCACCGGGCGAGGCAATTTCAATGTCGTTTGGGGTCTGTCTCTTTGTTGTTTTGAAAGTCTTACGAATTGTCAACAGGCTTTTGACCAACCTCAACGCAACGCCCAATTCGCTTAACATGCACAAACAGTCTCCTATTTTTTTCTGTTGTATTTTTGGATTTTGTATTTTTATAGGTAATTTGTGGGTGGGCGTGAGGCATGATTTTTGCATTTTATGGTTTATTTTTATACTATTTCCACTGCGCACCTTCGGTATAAAGAAACATTTTATATTTAACTGGCATTCTGCAAATGCACTGACACAATTCGCTCACCATTAATGGTACACGAACGCATACAAATCGGTAATTACAAATTGGCATCAACAGAGTGAGAGATAGACAAAGAAAGGCAACAGAGATCGGAGCGGCAAAGATTGGACTGGGGAAGTACGTGACTGCAATGAGGCTGAGAAAGCTAATACTTATAGAAATTACAGAAATAATCTACATTCAGTTGCCATTAACAAAGGCATCTGAGAGCAAAACTAACAATGCACAACAAATTAAGGAAATAAATTCCAGTTTTACGAGTACTTTGTTCCATTCATTTGACAACTACTTTGAATGGGCACAAGTTCAAGTGTGAAACACTATATCTTATCGGTAAGTATAGCGCAATACATTCTACAACAAATCAATACGATAATGAGTGTTTTTCCTCGTTCAAATTACAGTTTGAGGATTACTCAATTATGGTAAAAAAAAAAACAGATTCATAGCAACAAATACAATCGATAGGAAATCACTGACTAATCCCATTCATATTCCATAGCCATAAAATGTATATTCATTTTAAACTTTTTTCGCTATCGAACAACAAACAGAAAAAGCTTATATAATTTTTCGCTGTTGCTAAAAACATGTCGTGTCATGCCCGTGGAGCAGAAATCGTATCACCTATCACCTGAAAGTGAAATGAACCCTGTACCCTAGAGACTTATCAGTATGGTTTCTACATACATTTATTTATATGTAAAAAAACATTTCAGTTGTCTGGAAATTATACAAATAGCACTTATATAAAACTCGTTATGGAAACCGTTGTCAGATAAAAGATATAAACGGGTATTCAAAGAAATTATTAAAGAGATGTGGCGCTATTAATTATAATTTGTAGCATTAGATACATCCCCCAAAAAGAGATACGAGGAGATAGATATAGAGGTATCCTCCTCGTTAATTGCGTGCCTTTATGGCTAAACAATTATAATTTAGAGAAATAATTGAGATAATAATGTTTAAAAAATGAAATAAACATAATAATACTGACAATAAAGCCAAGAGTGGTACAAACACAAGTCTATTGCTACTTTGAACATTTTTGGATACTCTTTTGATACTTTTTGTAATGGAAACTATATATTTGATCAGATCTATATATGTACATACCAGGGCTGGCATACATACATAGGTTCAATTTTATTTTATTTTATTTAATCTATGTAAATATGAATATATTTAAATAATAAATATTTTCATATTACTTTTACAATGTATTGTAATATATTTAAATACAACTAAAAATATTATTTTTTCACTGGCTGACCTATTACACACTTTTCAATATTTTACAACCACTTGATCTGCTAGGGTATCCACTACCGACTCCACAAAACCCCCACCCCCCTTTCTTTTTATGCTTTTTAAAATATACGCGTAGCAGCCCGCACTTTAATAAATATATATATTTGCAATTAACACAATTGCATGGCTTTGCAATAATTTATGTTAAAAATACTAACCATCCGCAAAATTGCTAATAGACCTGCGGAAAACGTGCAAAAAATAAGCAAACAAATGGAACAACGGTAAAACAAAACAACAAAAAATCACTAACGAATGCCGCCGCAACAATGGAAGCATCGCGCATGAATCAGAGAAGGGGGGGGGGACGAAAAAAACAAACGGCAAAAGAGGAACAAGACGAAAAAGAAGAAGCAGCATCATTAAGTTTATGCAAAACAACAACAAAAACAACCGAAAATCCACAAAAAAAAAACCAATCAGCAGCAGCAAAAGTTTGCGCAACAATTTCACCAACACACAACATATACGATACGATATCATGTGTACGCATATTTTAATGGCTGTCTGTATTGAAAACCCCCTCCCTAGGCCAAACACTACGGCGAGAGACCTCAAAACACAGAAAATCATTTAACGCTTCAAGAAAAGAGGAAAAACCAAGAAAATGCAAGTAGGAAACACTCGAACTCACTTAAAGGTCAGCTTCAGCATATCCATGAAGCGTGTGGCCATCTTTTCCTTTTACTTTACACTTTTATCACACTTTTCATGAACACACAACACAAAAGCAAATTGAATGTTTTACTAGTGCTTTACAATTCGCTGCTATGGGAGCGTGGCATGGACTGCAGGCGGAGAGCCACAGAGAAAGTGTCACAATGTCTAAACTCCAGTTAACGCGAGTCGGCGTGCCGTGGGGAGTACGCAAGAAAGTTGCCGATGGAATAAAACGCTCCACGCGAGAGTGCGGCGGGGACTGACTAGAGTCGGGGCGATCGTGGGGTAGCCATATACTAAGCACAGCCACCAGTTGCTCCGCCCCGGTCTCTCCCACTGATTATTTTCTCAGAGAATGAGTTTAACAGCTGATTGTTTACCTTCTCTCGCCAGCGACACTCTGTCTCTCTCTCGTTCACTCGGCATTCCGAATACCGGTATATTCATTTGGTTTGCGCATAAGCTCTGAAAGCTCAATTCAAAGCTTGTGTATATTTTAACAGTATGTTAAGTAAGATCAATGTTAGAGGCCAAAGCTTTGATCTGAAAATGTTAGCAGGGGATCGATCGCCGATCGCTTTTGAATCACATAAATACTTGTTACGGAACTACATACATTAAAAGTGTGTTAACCCACAAAAAACAAGCTGCTTGCGAATAGCACGTCCGACAGCCAAACCACCTTGAAAGTGAACCTAAACCTAGGCTGATTAACAAAGCAGCAGGCAGACCAGCCCAGACCAGACCGGCCAAACGCTTTCAAAAGCTTTTTCCGAAGCACCACTTAATGAGTGCATAGTATAGTGCTGTCTGTGGCCCACTAACTAGTGCATATTCACGCAGACATTAATAGGTTTTACAACAATGCAAAGGCGAATGTGACTGTGAACTTGACTTTGGTCTGATAATTATGCAATTGACAAGTATTCAGTGCCCACTCGATTCGATTCAGTAAAAACTGCTGACGGACTGATTTCTCTATTGAAAGTGGATTTTTATTGAACATATCCATTATAGATGAAAGTCATCGGGCGTTGTGTGGGCTGGCTCACTTTGTGTAATAACTGTATCTGCCTCTGCGGATGGTACATCATCACAAAGTATGAATTGTAGGCAGATTACTAAAAGAAAACTAATAGAAAGGAAATTGAATATGAATTGGCATCGCAATAGGTACAATATATCCTACCCGAGCAACAAGTAGAATGTAGACATTTTGTTGTATATCGCTGGCTGTCACGAATCGAACTGAACTGAGGAAATCATCTAAGATTAGTTCTGGCGAAACGATGCCAGTTAATAGAAATGATTTACTCTAATGATTAGCACTTAGCAGCTGATTCCGACAGTCGCTTGCATTATCCAAAAAATAAGGTTAATGTGCTCTCTAATTATACAATAATTATAACCGCCAATCACTGTGACAATACTATTTTTAATGCTAACCAATTAGCAGCGAATTAGTCACACTGTATTTTATCCTACGGTTTATTTATCTTTGAGTATTAATTTTTGGTCATACGCGATAATTTGCAGCACTTTTTTCAAGGGGGGCAGGTTTTTGTTCAGCCAGACGCTATCTATGACGTCAGTTGTTTCAGATTTATGCGATATCAAACCGAAGTTATATTAGCATGATAATGTCTATGCAGTCACATGGCAATGGTTCAAGGTTTCCGGCTGATTCCTACTCACTTTTGTATAAAATCCCAGTTGGTAATTATTCGTGGAGCATCGCTGTTTCGGCGGCAACTGAAACTTTTCACAGCAGTCAATAATTTTCTCATTTTTCAATATTTGATAACTAAATCAAAGTATTTATTTCGTTCCTTTTTTTGGGTTTCAAATACATTTGAAATTTTTTTTTTAGTTTTTTTTTTTATTAAAATATGGATTTATATATACCTTTTCTTTTGCATCACATGACTTTGAAGCTTTTGACAAAAACGGACTCAAATACATTCAGAGAAGTTTTTCTTTCTTTCTTAAGGAATATAGTTTTGAAACATATGATTTAAACATTTAATCTTCGTGTGCACATTCCTAAAAACAATTCTCAAGTTATCAGTTTTTTCAGTTTTTGTTGTTTTGTTAAGTTATTTATTAGTTTGTTTTGTTGTCTTCCTATAAACATATTCTAAAAAATGATGTAAAACTTGGACAGGTTTTTCTTGTTGTTTTTTTTTGTTTTTTTTGTTCAAAAAAACGTATGCATATAAAACAGGTAAATATCCAAAAGACTTAGTCTACAAATATAAATAAATTTTCGGGTTAAATATATATATATATATGTATATGTTTTTCTTTAAAACACAAATGGAAAATGATTGGCATTTTTCTGGGGGGCGGGTGGGTGTAAGATTGTGCGCGGCTTTTGCTAATTGGAAGAAAATATATTTAATTGAAATCCTAACTAAAATTTACGTGTGTGCGTTTCGGAGGACAGTACATTCAACTTATATCGATAGAAAATATACTTGATATATGTTTGAATGTTAAATGGGCTCATTGAAGGAACATTAAATAGATTTATATAGCATTTCGCTTAGCTCAGATTTGTTGGCTGTCTTTGTTTTCTGTTTTCCGTTTTGTTTGTTTGGTTTTTTGGTAGTTTCTCATAGAAGGTACTTTCAGTTGCGACTTGGTTTCGATACTCATAACTTGCCGATATATTTCAGACCTATTCCAGATAGATACATACATATAGCTGCTAAAACTTTAACACACTTAAATAGAATCTTTCGATATTGGCAAAACTTAACAACAGTAGAGGGGGTTGTTTTTTTTTTAAGGTCTAAAGCTATGCTTTTGCATTGTTTTGAACAGAGGCTTTCAAACATAAAGCTGTTTAGAATCGTACAGATAAAGCTACAGATCTATGTACATCTAAGTGGAGATACTCCACACATTCCATTCCATACCAATCGCAAGTCGCAAGTCGCAATCGCTGCTTCTCCCCACCTCAAAGCAGCTCGTCGCGTCTAAAGAAACTCTCCCAGACCATCAGCTTACGCAGATCGGGCACATCGATTATCTTCAGCTCGTCGGATATATTAAGGCACTTTAGCTGACGCTTCTCCAAGGACGCCGCGGACACTGGCTGCCACAGATCCGACTGTTCCGGATCGAAGTTGGGATTGCCAGAGGCGGCAAATTGGGTCCAGAGACCCACCAGACGCTCAATGCACTTGTATTCACGCGTATGGTTCTTCAGTTTGCGGGCAAGTGAATTGTAGAACAGATAGGAGAGATCGTCGCCGTGGCAGGTGCCACGCACCTTCTTGCCGCAGCTCAGGATACGCAGGTGATTGAAGTGCTTCGAGTCAAAGTCGAAGCGATACAAATAGGTGGGTGCACTCCTGGCATACTCCAGGCGGGACAATACTGTGCGATAGATGGGGAACCAGAAGTACTCATGGGAGACCATCTACACAAAGAAAGAAATTGCAATACTTTAGTAAAAGAAAGGAAGACTATAGGTATGTAAAACCCACCTGGAGGTACTCGTGGAGAGTGTCCAGACTCGGCGTTTTATCGCCATAGTAGCACTCCCTCAACTGTTCGCCATAGTCTTTGCACAGAGCACTGTCCCGATCCATGTTCAGTTCAATGGGCACCACAAACCGGCAATCGTCCAACTCGTTCAGACAATTGGGTTTGGCCTTGGTCTCCGAATACAGAAGTAGACCCTCGTTGGAGACGCCGCCCAAGATGAGGGGTATACTGTTGCTCCAGGCGGTGCGCATCATTTCGATGGGTTTCTTGGGCACCACACAATGGCTCGTGACAAAGGGTTCGATGACGGGTCCAAAGGAGAAACCAATTCGCTCCTTCTTCTCCGCTTCGATGCACAGTTCGCCGTTGGCTTTGATAATGTCCGATCCTTTGGCATTGTTGAGAAACTCCCAGATATCGCGGGTGTTATTCTCACCCGTGTAGCCCGCCTGGACGGCTAGACGATATGGCCAATTCCTCTGCGGCGTCACCGCCCAGGGGGAGAGTGTGTTGCCCGACATGCAAATGGCCTTGTGGAAGAGGCCACGGGTCTGCTCTGTGATCATCATGTAGTGCACGGAGGCGCTGCCAGCGCTATCACCAAAAATAGTTATGTTCCCCGAGTCACCGCCAAAGCGAGAACAATTGGCCTTGACCCAACGGAGGGCCAGGACCTGATCCTTAAGCCCAGCATTGCCGGGTACATCAAGCTCAGGATCATCTAAGCAGAGGAAACCTAATGGAAAGGAGTTCCAAAATTGGCTTAAGTTTGTTATCCCTCATTTTCAAGAACTAAGTACTTACCTAATGGACCCAATCGATAGTTGATGGATATTACGACCACATCTTCGCGCAGCAAATAGTCGGGACTGTAGCACTCGCGTGAGGCCTCGCCAAATTGAAAGCCCCCGCCATAGATCCAGACCATCACTGGCATCGGTTTGGTGGGATATAACTATGTGAGTTAAGTCAGATAACCTATTAGTCAGAAAAGCATATCCCAATATTGATCATCATCACCACTCACATTCTTTGTGTAGACATTGAGGTACAGGCAATCCTCGGAGCCGTCTGTCATGTCGAATACAAAATGCTTCTGCAGTGGCTTTGGACCCTGTGATGTACAACTGCGGACCTCTGTCCAGATCTCTGGCGGTTGCGGGGCCTTATAGCGCAGTTCTCCCAGTGGCGGCTTGGCAAAGGGTATCCGCTCGAAGCTGAAATATAGCTGGCCATAGATGGACTTTCGTTTCACACCCTTGATGGGTCCATAGGTAGTGCCAACGACAGTCTTTTCGCTGGTCTTATAGCGACGCTGTTGCACTTTGAAGTCCACCATTCTGCAAAGAGGTTAGAGAAAAAACAACACACAATTTAGAGAGAGACTTAAAAGTGTAATCAGCGTAAAATGAAACGAAATGTTAGAGGTTTCGAAATAAAACGAAATGTTACCATTAATCAGTTACAATAAACGACGTCAGCTTTGCTGATATTGATGCGACTGTCTTTGCCGTTTAACTTTTTCTGCTGATAAGGTTAATTTTTTATCAGCCTTTTTTTCGAGCCCCAGGTGTGCGCCATTTATCAGGGCGTGCAGAACCCCATACCAGAACGAACCATATTAAATCGGTAAGAAATGTTTTTGTTTTTTTTGTATTTATTTTGAATAAACAAAATCCACTTTGGTCTGGTATCATTCGTCTCGCTTTTGGTATCAAAAGATATACAAAAGTAAGAAAGCAAACATATTTCCTATTATTTTCGTTTGAGTAGAAGCAAGTCATTCAACTTGGAAGCAAACGGAAATCAAGGGCAAAAGGCCATTGAAATTGTACACATATTGAGGGGTACATTCTGTTACCCCGTAAACCGAGAGAGTTTTTATGTTCTTTGGAAAATTGGGTTAATCCATACACAAAAAAGACCCCAAGGCTGCACGCTAATTCAAGAAAATTGTTGTTAATGTTCTTCCCTATAAAAATTATAAATATATTTATACCTCAAGGTTTTTTTTATTGATAAGGTGTACAATTTGTGTACTTAATTCTAAGGAGAGACCTTTTATGTTCTGCCAAAAATAGACAAAAAAATTATATTAAAATCTATGGAGACCTCAAGGTTTTCTTTGATTGATAATGTGTACCGAATACTCTCAGTTTTGCTTAGTTTTAGCACTTAAATCTTGATTTTTATGAATGTTTAAATAGGAATTTATTCGGCATAGAGCCTCTGCCATATAGGGGCGGCTTTTGTTTATCGATTGCCCTTAATGGTTTCATCAGGTACAAAAAATAAAACTTATTCCGTCATGGTATTTTCCTATTTTTGATGCCATGATGCAAACCAAATGAAACGTGTTTCAAATTTGAATTATGCATTTTATGACTTCACACACACATGTCGTAAACCCGAAAGGAAATAAAGAATGAACTCAGCCAAAACGCCGAGTGATCTCTGTCTGTCTGCCCGTCCCGGACATTGTTTTCTTTTGTTCGAGAAATGTCATCAGCAAAAGCCAAGGGTAAGCGAAAAAATACGTACAATATATATTAAAATTTATGTTTATTAATAGCCGGAACGAGCTGTTGCCCATTTTTCGACTCAGATTGAAGACGAAAGTCCCCCAAAACGCATGATGTGAATAATACATCCGTAGAAATAAGTTGGTCTATCGTGGACCTTGGCCTTGAACTTAAGGCAAAAGGGAAATTGTTTTGGGGGAGAGTGACAGGGAATGGGAACGCTTAGGCTAATGGTCGGCACCTATAAAAAGAAAGTCAATATAAATAATGTTTATGACGGAGGGGGTCTGTTAACTGGGGTCATAAAAGATTATGTCCTAATGCCAGGCTTGCGTGTAAGAGTGCAATACCTCAAAACACACCTAGATGGGTTCCTGGGGACTGCCCATTGGGTTTTAGGGTCAGTTGTAAAACGCAGAATGCCCAAAGGAACCTACACAAATTAGTTGATGATAGCTAATACTTTGAGCTCTTGGTCCCACACATTATACAGAATGTTGGATCATCAAAGAACGATGAAATCTTATGAAACATTCCATCAAATGTTGATGTAAGCACTTCAATTGTTTGTATTCCATTTGCTGGCTGCTTAGTTTTTGATTTTCCTTTCCTGATTCTTTTCTTATTTTCATCTTTCATAGATCGTGTGGAAAATCGTACTGCTAAACGATCTTGTGTGTCCCTCACTGATTTATGTGTTATTTTTGGCCGCCGTACAACAAATCTCAAGCGATAAATTTTGAATGAAAATATACAAGGGAGAGATCTTTTTTGCTCACACTAAGAAGGCAAATATTCAGCTGCTTATGAGCATGAAGTGACGACAGCAAACGCCGCCAGGGCGGGGTAGAAAATACCCAGAGACCCAGAGGCAAATAAACTTTGGTGCAAAAAGACGGAACCGAAACGATATAAGGCTTGAGTTTTATTATTTCCGAATTCGTTAAACTGTAAAAATAATTGAGGCAACAGTTCGTATGGGAAATGTGGAAGTCATATGGTGGAATGTATTCGTATAACTTGGGATTTTGTGAAGCAAATAAAAGAACCATAGAGCTCCAATCAGGGTCGGATATTAAGGATCCTAAAAAATTCAAAATTATCCAAACTTTGCTCTTTTACTACCTTTTGGTATTTAAAAAAAATTTTGTTTACTTCCAATCAAAAAACTCAATCACATTTGAACTTTAAAGTTCTATTTTTCTGTGAATAGGTGGTATAGGTAATAGTAAACAAATTAAACTATAGTTATGGGACTCCAAATGACTCGAAAAACACTAGAAAAACTATACCTAGAACTATACCTAAGTTTCCAGTGAAATATTATGTGTTCTACTTTCCTAAAACTCATAATCTCTCGGGTGCGGTAATTACAAGTCATCCCATTTCATTCAAATAAAAACAAAAAACCCCATGAAAACAATCATAGAATTATGAAATAAAACCCAACAAGCATAGGCTTCGCTTGGCATCATGTCGGGCATGTAGAACCCCCAGAGAACAGACTATTATCAGGCATGGTATTAGAAATATTTATTCATCGCAGCTTGAGGAGCAATTGCAGCAGGTTAATGTTTGTATGCCACTGGAAGCACCAGAGATAAGCTCGGCTTATGTCATGAGTGAATCAATTAATTTTCCATACACCACATCCCACATCCCACGGCCTAATCTGCCACACTCCTCTCTGCTATCAGCTAGACATGGGACAAATCCCGCCACGCGATTACCCTTATAATCTAGGCAAACATCACATATTGTTGGAATGACTAACTGACAGACAGATAGACAAACAGACAGACAGATAGACGGACAGACTGAGCAACAGAGGTACAGTCAACAAGTCATGGTCAAGTTAGTTTTTGCCAAAGAGAACGTTAAAATATGATTATGAGGAATAACAAAGAACACGAACAGGCACAGAGAACCACATCATAGAATTTAATTTCCGTTGCAGAGTAGAGCCATCAACATTGTCTTCTATTTGTAGACATTTTACATGAAAGTGTGCGGCGGACATGGCTCTGACCTTGGCAAGGCTGCAAAAGCTCCAACTCAATGAAAGCTTTCCGTTGCGCCCCATGAATGAAATGCGCGATGCCGAAAGCTCACAAGGATATCTGACAGACCGACTGCGAGAAGGTTCTGAATGGAATGCCCAGAGATGGAGAGCAGGTCAAGGAGTGAAGCCGAAGGCCAAACCGAGCAACTCTTTATTATAATTTAATCATAAAATTCAATTTGATTAACCCTAATGATCTAAAAATATTAAAAACAAACTTTTCAGACGGCTTAATTTGATAAAAATTCGCTAAAAATTTCAACTCATTCATGGAATAACCCATATAATACGTATACGTATACGTATCTGCGAATATATCGTATATGTATATAATATATATGTATATATAATATTCTTATCTGTATGTTTGCTCTTGTTGCGGCAATTCTTTCATTCTTTATTCATTTAAAACATTTTTTTTGCTGCCACACAAAAGCTTTTTACACAAAAAAAAAGAAATAATAGAGAGAAGAAAATGCGGCAAAATTAAATGAAATTGACATGCTTGCATTTGTGTTAGTTTATGTGTGTGGTTTGTGGTGTGCATGTGTGGGCGTTTAGGTGGAGAGCACGAATAGCTAGCGACAAAAAATTTCATAGAATATAAGCGAAAATTGTATGCCGCAGTTATACCCGTCGTATGGGCAATGTCAGAAATACATACATGCCCACAAAATACGAGCAGCAGAAGGAATGCAGATAAATCAACGAAATGTGAAGGGAATAAATTATGAACAGGTGGAGGGCTATCAATATTATTTCCTGCACTTTTCAACACTGCCTATCTTGCTAGCTAACACTGAAAATGTTAAAAATAGTTACAAAACGGACTTCTATTGTGATTTATTTCTTTCTTATTCATTAGTTTGACAATGCACTGTGTTTCAATTTTGATTCCTCCCCCTTTCCAATTAATGTTTGTATGATTTTCTTAAACCTACACCCAATACCGATTGTTTGATTTCGTCTACTTCTTGCGCTGATTATCGCTGGCAAGAATCATGGCAATGCGTATGAAGATATTCAGGGCATCCATATATATGGCCAGAGCCATATTAATGGGATCGAATTTGGGAATGCCATGCTGTGGATGCAACTCGGCCACGCGCACAATCCGCTGCGTGTCGTAGAGCAGGAATCCGCTGAACAAGATCAATCCACCGTAGACTGACATACTTGCGAGGCCAGCTCCCAAGGCCGTTGTGGGGGGCAGCCACATACCAGCCAGAGATGAGGCAAAGACAACGCCCAATCCAATGGCCAATGGACCGCCCATGTAGAGAAATTTATCGCTTGGGGCGCAGGCGGCCACCGTGGAGAGGGCGCCCACAATGCCGCCCGTGTAGAGCATGGCCCTGGTCAGAATCGGACCTCCCAGGAAGCACATGGGCGCCAGCACGGCTCCCAGAACGGTGCAGTGTGCCAGCCAGGCCAGCTGCTTGGCCCCGAATCCTTCTTTGTATTCGATTGACTGGGCCATGACCCCAGTGCCCATCACCAGGCCCAGGGTTATGAGCCCGGCAACTATACCGGAGCGAGTCATCAGGCTCATGGCGGTCTCGGACTGGAAAAAGGCAGCCGCTGCAGCAGCTGTAATGCCACAGGATGCCCCAAAGTAGGCATAGGTGGCATGAATGCGATCCCTCACATACTGCGGCCACAGCAACGATTGATCGTAGACACTGGTTTGCTTGGACAGGCCCAGTCCGTAGTAGCAGAGTCCCACGAGACCCATGAGGGCAGCTCCTGCTGCCGCACCCTTGCCCATGGAGTAGGCATTCTCGCTGGGCGGTCCCATCATCCGATCCTTGAGCGAGGGTCCACGCGTACGGCTCTCCAGATGCGAACGGTTACGGTTGGACTCACGTGAATAGTCCCGACGCAGCATATTCTGTAGATCCTTCTTTGGTATCAAGGACTTGCCCTGGCCCATTGATGGCCATGTCAGGGGGTTCTTCTTCAGCAGCGGCATGGCCTTGGTCGATTGCCATAGTCGCTGACTGGTGACCTGCCCCAAGAGACACAACGAACGTCCTGGCAGGACGTGATTTAAGCGAGCCAACAGCATTTTTCTAGATTATCAACTAATTTTTGTGTGTGATTTTGCAAGGCTACAAATATTTTCTTGCCTGTTTGATGGTGTTTTTGTTACTTGATTAAACGATTGAATGGGAGAGAAAAGGCTGCTAGGATAAGAGATATTTTCCAAATCAGAAAAATAGTTTACAGATTCAGATTTGGTGAGGAATGCCACAGAGATGCGTCGGTCGCCAAAGAATGCACCAGAAATATTTGCACGTGCCGCCACAGAAGACTTCTAAATGATAGCAGAAAATTGTCTCAAATTGAAGGTTAATTGGTTTCCCACAGATAAATTCGCTGTGTCAATTGGGATTCACAGATATCAAAATTGAATTCATTCAATAAATAAAAAGTCCATTTGGTCAATTCGAAATTATAATTTTAGATGCCCTCCCAAACGAGATTGTTTTGTGAGGTGGCAATTTAGCCAATGAATATGGAAAACGCTGCTACATTGTATAAGAATTGGCAATTTATTTATGCCAAAAAATTTGATTGAATGTGGGCTTGCAAATGCCATTTCAAGCTGTCACAAAGCAAAAAAAAAAGAAATAGGAATAATTTAAATATGAAAATGAATGCAGAATGGCAAATGCACAGGAAGAAATCATGTATGATATAATACACTTATTTTTAAAAAGCAGAACTATCGCAGAAGCTTTGCCAACCATTTTGTGGGAACTCAGTTTGATTAATCTTAAGTTTTCTTTTCCCTTCGATGTATTGTATCGATGGGCCCCTCGGGTAACGAAAACCAAACCAGTTAGAGGCACACAAAGCCGTCGCCTCTGATCTCATACAACATTCTACCCGTCTCTTTTTTTTCGGTTTGGTTTATTTCTCTGACTTTTTGCAATTTGTGAATCAGCACGGCTGTTGCTACTGCTGGGTTTACTATAGTTTTTACACAATACAATAATTTACATAGTCGTACATCCCGCACCGACCGACAGAGGGATGGAGATGGAGGGAGAGCAGGGGGCGATGGCGGTGCACTAGTTTGCTACCTAATTATTTGCGCAGTTTAAGTGTCGGCACAGAAAAAGCCAAAGACCCCTAGACCGGACTCATATAACAGACAGCTGTTGTGTGTGTGTGTGTGTGTGTGTGTGTGGGACATGTTCCTGTGTTTGTGTGTATCTGTGTTTGCTCATTATGGAGACGAGAACTAGAATTTCCTAGAATCAATAGAACGCAAATGAAAGGGGACACGCCGTCATTAGAAACGCCTGCGTTTCAAGCAAGCAACCCCCCGGTAAGGATACCGTCTCAGGTTTATTGTTTACATAATTACGTGTATGTATATATGTATGCTCATGTAGGACCCCAAGGACGAGCCATCTCTAGGGGGTAGGACATTGCCGCAGCAGCAGCAGCTGTTCCTTAAATATTGGAAGCAATTTAATTGTTTCCAGCTGCGCGAAACGTCAGGCCGAAAACATATACAATTACATATATAATTTCTTATCGGTAGACTTTGGAGAACACCGCTTTCGGCGCTTTCTTTTGCGGTACTTTCCGAATCATCAATCAGCCCGAACTAATTCAAAAAAATTCGCTATTGCCTGATCAGCAATGATCATCAATTGCCGTCAAAGTGGGTTTCTAGTGGATAGATCTGGGTATAAATCATCGTGAAGAGAACTGTATGTATATGGCCTACATGAGGTGTGCAACTTAATTATATATATAGTTGTGCGCCTTAGATTGGATGACAGCATTGTGGCTGATGTCATGATGAGAGACTTGCCTAAATTGGGTAAACTTTATGGCAAGTCATTTAATGGTAAATTTACAACATGACAGCAGTTTCAAATATCTATTTAAAAATGTATATAGTCTTCTATATCGCTTACTATATAGTTTTCAACTTACTTGAGTCCAATTTTGAACTGATCAAATGCCGCCATGGAAGACATTTTGGTGTTCTCTTATGTTCTTCGGTTCAAATTTAATCAAAAGATTGTATATGGCTCTACTTTCCTTTCCTTTTTGTTATTATTATTATATATTTATAAATTTTCGTGTTTCTTTGGTTTCTTCTCTTATAAATATTACAAAAATTACTTTTTATTTTGTATCAAAATGTGTGTTGAACAACTAACAGCTGTTGTTGTGTTTTCGGTTTTTGTTTTTTTTTTTGTTTTTTTGGTTGGCCTTGCAAGGACTATGCGTTGTGTATCAACAAAAATACAGTCTCTGTCGCTGTAGCTTTGCTACTGATAAGGAGCTTTCCTGTCCTGCGCACAAACACAGACACAAGAACACCCACAGGACGAAGCCCGTTCCCGCACAGCAGGAAAAACACACACGCGCTCTTGTGGTACACGCAGGATAATTTACACGTCGAAAAAAGCACAGATTCCCAAGCAAGCATTTATCACATAACACGCGAAAAACAATCAGATTTTTGTTGAAATTCTTTGAATACTGCCGCACAACTATTACTCGGTTTTTTTTGTAGTATATATAGTTTTGTTGCTTTTGTTGATGATGGAACACGGTGGAAAGGTGTGTGTGTGTGTCCGGTTTGTTCAGTTCAGCTTTTGTTGCCGTTACGCGTCCGATTGGCGTGAAGGCAGCTCATCAACTGTCCGCAAAAGCACGCGCTATAAAAGTTCTAAACGAAACACCACACCGAAAAAGCTTTTCCCACTGAGACCGATACCGAGACAGAGACCGAGACAGAGACCTGAACATAGAAGCATGCGATGCGATGCGTGTGTGAGAGCTGCTGGGTGGGTGGGGTATCTATCAACGTTATCTATAATTCAGTAGCCTCACAATTATGTTTATTGAGGCCTTCTTCTATTGAATACTGAGTCACTCTCGCAATTACATGGCAAAAAATTACTTTTGACTTTGTCCTGTGGCATTTATTATTGAGCGGCACTCCTCATATGAGCTTTATCAGAGCCTCAACAAAAAAAAAATAAATAGTAGATAAGAAAAACCGTATTGATACGCTATGGCGGGAGGGTACCAAGTTGTGATTTTGCTGATTCGACACTAAAATTCCATGTATCGCCGTGTCTTCTTCATATTTTGTTTGACGACGTTGGGTGACATGTGGCGTATGTGTAATCTTTATGGACCACTCATCGTGTGATAAGAATGGTTCGAACCAATTTTGCGAATGAGTCAGTTTATTGTATTTGCCGGAGGGGAGTACTTCTAGGAAGCTGTCTGCCATCGATCTTCGGTAATCGGGAAAGTACCCACTCGTGCGGGGGCGCGATACCACAAGTAGTGTCTAATACTCGATGGGACAGCAATATGGTGGAATAATCAAGATGTTGTATGGCAAGAGTGTTTTCTTACACTTTTAATACACATATACTTTATATTTTTGCACTTAAAGCTTGAAACTACTTTCAGTAACCAGGAAAGCACCGTTTGGGCACTTCAATAGACTATTGAGAAGTTCTATATAAGAAGTGGGTTGTATTTCTATAAAATGGAAAAACAAACCCCACGTTGTTGTTACTTTAAGTTCTTAGATTTATCTCATAGTTCTTTCATTTTAAGCCCGAAACTACTTATGACTTCATCGCAACTCAAATACACGAGTTAGCCTTGCTCCCACTCTAGACCCTCTGTATACCAGGAAATTTTTGTATCACCTCAGATAAAGTCATTCATTATATGTGGGCCATGTTGTTGTGCTTGTCTCCGGCTGCCACACGCGCCCAATGGTCCCTTGAGGCAATGCAAACAAAATCAAGCGGAAAAAGCAAAATAAGGGAAAGTAATAAAGGAAAGTCAACACAACGAACAGTCACAGCTGATTGGAAGGAGCTGCTGCTGCTGTTGTTGTTGCTTCTGCTGCCTCCTGTTGCTATTGAAAAGCTTTCCGCTGAGCCAAAGCTCAGCCAGCAGTAGCTTTTTCCATAGCTTTTAACAAGCTTTTAGCAGTCGAACGTTTATTTTGATTTGTTTTATGTTAAGTTTTGTTCTTCCCCAAGTAATTACCATAAGTTATGGTCAGTTCTGGTTCGGTTTGGATTAGTCTGGCATCTGGAATCAAAGTTGATTGGACTTAATGCGAAACTACGAGTATGCGAGTATGCGAATATACGATTATATGAGTATGTGTGAATGGTTTATACCCAACGAATGCTGTGTATGGCGGGACAGTTTTGTTTTTATTTATGATACATTAAATAAATAACCTTGGCCGGGGGGTAATACTAGTTTACCCTCTCGTGACTTTTGGCGCTTATGTTGCCATGCGCTTTTCAGTGCGAGAGCTTTGGCTCTCTCATTTCCGATGTGCTTTTTTGATCTATCTTGCTCTCGCACACGATCGCGTGCTCTGGTGGCTCTTCTGGCACGTTTTTCTGCTTTACGTTCCTCTAATTCATTTAAATCAATTTAGATAGAGTTCTTTTTCTGCGACGATTGCGACTATTTCAGTCGCACAATTGTTAGGCATTAAATGATTTTGATTAAACCAAAATGATTTCAATCAGCGAGCGGCAAAACCAACACACAAAAGAAAACGTTTTAATAATAACAGAAATTTTTGCAAATTCAGAATATTGTTTTATGTATTTACGTTTTGCCATATGGTGGCATGTGAGTTTTTCACGAATTTCCCCCGAAAACATTTCCACTGTTTAACTTCAACTAATTTATATTTTGTGGGTCCGAGATTTGCGTGCTTCTATCTGATTCCCTGGAAAATTGGGGCCAGTGAGTAAATGTTTTTCCCGAAAAATCAGCAATTCCGATAAATTAAAAATTCATTTCCGTTAATCTTACAACTTGCGTTTTCTCCACCACAACAACAACAAGGGACCTCCAAGGACCATGTCTAAGAAAATGTAAATGGAATATCAAATGTCCAAAAACCAGTAACAGGAACAGCCAGCCGTGCCTGTTCGGTGGCTTTCGAGGCGCGCACATGATAATCATAAGCATTTCGCGCCGCGCGCGCAACAATTGCCTCATGAATTTTTCAAAGGCAAATCAAATCAAACGGACGCCTGCCACAACCCATACTCATCAGGATGCCCCTACCACACACCCCACACCCCACACTCCTCCTCCGCTGTTCGCTCCTTTGGCAAGAAGTCATAATTTTCCGGCTCCTCGCGTGACTTTTCCATGCCATTTCGTGACTTGATTACATGCGTCCTTGTTGTTGGCTCCACCATTTCTCCTGTTCCTTTTCGTTGTTCTCGCTGTTGTTGTTTTCCTGGGGATAATTGGGGGTGGATTTTTCCCCATATATAGAGTTCACAGGGCTATCAAAGCCCCATTCTCATTCCATTGACTCCTGCACGTGACACACAGAACTACTTTTGTCTGTGATTTTAGAAATACAAACAAAAAAGAAACTTTTTACACACACAAGGCTCACAGAAAGAATGTATTGTTTTTAAGGGTATTGATATGAAAAATGGGGTCTGAAAAGGCTTAAAGCTAACTTTTTTGAACAACTTGCATGAGTTTATAAGTGTAGAACACTTTAGTTGGGGATTGGAACCATTTTGACCCACTTAAAGCTGGAAATATTGTGAATCCTTTCCAAGTGCATGACTTTTATAGATCATTGCTTTGTGAGCAGATACATCCAGAAAGAAATGTGTTTTATTCGTTTATGAAGAGCAACATTAACATTACTGTCATTTCTTCTTATACTCTCCACATATTTATATGTTCTGGACAACCATTAATTATTAATTACTTTAAAATGCATTAAGTACTCACAAAACTTTTCCATAAAACCTGTTTGTCGAAGGGATTTTCCATCTTTAACCGCACACAAAATATTTACCAAAAACCGTTGCATACCTTGCGGCTGGCCCTGAAATTCGAAATTGAATATACAGTCATCCCCCGAAACGCCGCCTCGACAAGCAAACAGCAGCCAAGTAAAACACAAATTTCCAGCAAATTTGCTAAGCACCTGTAAATAATAATTACAGTATTACAAAACATAAATAAAATGACAAAACAAAAAAAAACCCACACAAAATTAAAAAAAAAGAAAGCCATGTTTGGGGCCCAAAGGTCAGCGGAAACCAACGCAACCAAGCTGCTGCTGCGTGGCTCCCCAAATGTGAAGCACGTGTAAGTTTTTAATTACAATTAATGGTTGACAAAGTTGGAGGGGGGGATGCGAGAGAGCAGGTGGACTCTGCGTGTGTGTGTGTGTGTGTGTTTTTAGCGGTCTTTGAAGTTGCCATAGACACAAGCTCACAAAATCCACGATACAGTATGACAAGAGTAAGGGGGGCAGGTGTGTTCCCAGGCTTTTGGTTTTGTCGCTTGACAGCACTCATGTGTATGTATCTATTGTGTGTGTGTGTGTGTTGGGACAGGTGTTAATATTGTCATGTCTGAGCATTTAAGTATTTTTAATATCATAACGCGTTGCATACTTTATGGCGGGGGCTTTGGTGGGGCCCGGGCTTAACCCAAAAACTCACACAAGCGTGATTAGACCAGGGCAGGGCCTACACGTGTATTGGCAAGAGTATTCGAGTATATACTCCCCCTGCATAATCAGATCAATGTTTGCCTTTGTTGGGCCAAAGCGTTGAGTGGTGTAATCGGTTTAGTTCTTCGATATGAAAAATACTAAAAATATATATCCATATTATCTTTAATTTATTGAGTTGAAAGGAGACGAATTCAAACGCTTAGCACCATATAATATATATCAAAAAAGTTTATTAATATTACTACCATTTAAAAAATACATTCAACACATGCTTTTCTTCTATCAAATCAGTCCTTAACATAATAATTTTCTTTCACAAAGTTTTTAATATTCCGCTTACCAAAACACTTTTGATGCAACAAAATTTGTAGCCAAACAAAATATTTGCCTAATCTTGTTATTTTCCTTTTCTGTTTCTTTTTGTGTATTTACTCTTAAGGCTAAGCTATAAAAAATCGCTATTTACATGTGTACATTTGATGTGCTTTTAAGGCCGCCTCAGGGCCGGGGCTTAGGGGCTACTGCTACGGCTGTGACTACTGGCTAAGGCCTACGGATTGCTAAGGGTAAATAAGCGGCAAAGTCGCTGAGAGATTGAGGGGAGTGGTGCTGGGACAGGAACCAACCAAAATGTGTGTTTCAGTACAGGAGTCGTCTGTCATAGCAGCTATCCCAGAGCCGCAATTTTTCGGCCTCTGGCAAATCAATCACTTGCACATCATGCGAGATATTCAGGCACTTGAACACCGCATCCTCACGTGAAATGGGCAACCAGGTGGATGTGGGTGTGCCCGTTCCTGTGCCCTGTGGCTGCTGCTTCTCGTCGTGCGTGACCAGCGGTATATTGGGATCCCCGGATATGGCAAACTGCACCACCATGGACACCAGACGTTTTATCGTCTTGAATTCGGCCGTGCGGCGCTTTAGTTTCTTTGCTGCCGCATTGTAGAACAAATACGACAAATCATCGGCATGACATGTGCCTCGCACCTTGCGGCCACAGGTGATAATCCTCATGATGTTGAAGTGCTTCGAGTCAAAGTCAAAACGATACAGATACGTGGGCGCCTCTGGAGCGTAGTGGGCACGCGATAGCAATGTCCTTTGGATGCCATGCCAGAAATATTTGTACGAAAAGAGCTGCAAAACAGGGAGGGGGAGATTATTATTGAAGTTTATCGCTGAAGTGCAGTAATTATTCTTACATCGCTGTACTCCAGAATAGTCTCACGACTGGGCTTCCTATCGCCGAAATAGGCTTCCCTCAGCTGCTTGCCGAAGGCCCGCTGCTGCTCCTTGTCCAAGTGCGCATCCCTGGGAGCCAAATGCTCGCAATCTCCCAGCTGGCACAGCAACTCCGGCCACTTGTTCACCTCGGGGAACATCAGCAGACCCTCAAAGGAGTTGCCGCCAATCACCATGGGTATGCTGTTGCCCCAACAGTTGCGCATCATCTCCAGCGGCGACTTGGGTATCACACAGTGATCTGTTTCGTAGGGTTCAATGGTAGGGCCAAAGCAGAACATGGTCAGGCGCTGGTGGCGCTCCTCCATGGTAATAATATCGTCGGCCACCTTCAGCAGGCTGCTGGCCTTGCATTTCTTCAGATGAGCAAACACCTGGCGATCGTTTAGCTCTCCCGAATAGCCCGTGGCCTGGGCCAAACGATAGGTCCAATTGATGTGCGTTGGGGTCTGGGCCCACGGCGCCAATGCCGCACCCGACATGATCACAGTCTTGTGGAAGAGATTGCGGGTCTGTTCCGTCAGCATCATGTAGTGGGTGGACGCTCCACCTGCACTCTCACCAAAGACTGTGATATTCTCTGGATCACCGCCAAAGAACTGACAATTCCGCTTGACCCATCGCAGGGCCATCACTTGGTCCTTGAGGCCCGCATTGCCGGGCACATCCAGCTCTTTATCGTCGAGACTGAGAAATCCCAGGGCTCCAAGGCGATAGGATATGACAACCAGGACCACATGTTCCATCATGATGTAGTCGGGACTGTACAGATCCCTGGAGGCTTCACCCATTTGAAAGCCCCCTCCATAGATCCAAACGAGCACAGGCACAGGTTTATTTGGATGCAGCTGAAGAAGGAAAAGATGCGTTAATTTCATATTTTATCGTTTAGATATCGATAATCTGCACCTACCTCTCTGGTGTACACATTTAGGTACAGACAATCCTCACTTCCTTGGACCAACTTCATCACAATGTTCACCTGGCACGGCTTGGAGCGTACCCGCGTGCATCGCTTCACCTCCGTCCAATGGTCAGGCTCCACGGGTGCCTTGAATCGCAGCTCCCCCACCGGGGGCTTGGCAAACGGTATTCCCTCGAAGCTGTAGTAATTGTTTCCATAAATCGACTGCCACTTGACGCCCTTCACCTTGCCATAGAGCGTGTCGGCTATCACCTTGTCATTGCTGCGAAGGCGCTGTTGGTTCGTCTTGAACTTCACATAGCTGCAACGAAAGTGGGGGAAATAAACACACGCAGATACTTTAATACCCAGAAACACCTCTCACACTCTCGTTGAATATATACTAAGTGCTTTCGGGGTTTCGTATCCCTTAAATTTTTTTTTGTTTATAAACAAATACGAGTACTTGAACATTTTCTAGTATTTTTTGCGAATTTTCAATTAGCGCGTAAACAAAACCAAATATAAATAGCCAAATAATGAAAATAGAAAGGCCTAGGAAAGGCTATGGACTTCCGGAATGCTCTATAAATGGAAGGAAATCTTACAAAATTACTAGGAGAACTGCATCTTAAATGACATTTTTCTATCTTCGAGTAAGTTTTACTTCAATTTTTTAATGGTCAAAGCTGGCGTTTCCCTTTAAGAATTCTTAGCATAGTTCCCATTTAAGGGATGCCAACCCATCTTCTCTCAAAAACCATCACTCCCCATTGGAACACCATTCTTAATGGGTATTGGAAGTAAAATCAGAAAATACCATAAGTATTCCCAATGGAGGCGTGCCCCATTTAAATTTCAAGTGCGTTTCCATTTAGAAACGTGCGCTCGGAACGACGCGTGAGCCGATCTACAACAGACCAAAAAATTCACGTTGCCCACAAAATACAATACAATATATTTTGTATGTTAGAAGATCTCTAAAAAGAAGACGCGGACGTGGACGCGTCCGATGTGATGACCACAAATCATGGGAGGGCAAACAATTAATTAACAGCTGCCCGGCGTCTTCTGACTATTTTCTGTGGTCTGTGGGGGCCAACCTTGAGGGGGAATTCCAGGCAACGTGTACGAACTGCAATTGGTGTGAATTATTAGATATCCAGTGCTAATTGTAAGCTTCCAAGCTGATCGAGGTCGAGCCCTAAGATTCCAGTTGTTGAGTAATAGGCACATAATTCTAGAAGCTTGAGAACCAGTTTTCTTGTTTGTGAATTGAATTAAATTATACATTTCATACGAGAGACTGGTCGTATAACAGAAGCAATTTGTCAGAGCAGGAATTGTTTCGGAATCACAATTAACATATTAAGGAAATCTTAAAACAATTCTGGAACCATTTTATAGACATTTAGGAAAACAAACAGCGGAACTGTACAGTGGAATACCCAAAATATTTACAAATAAAAATCCATTTGAAAGGAAAATCGAAATGGAAATGGAAATATTCGGCAAATCAATCAATATCTCAATGCATCATGGCATCTTTTTGGGTTGCGCAGGTCAATGGCATTTTGCTTGAGTGCATTCAATATATTCAATATAATATTTCGTATTTTCCCAACACGGCATCACAGAAACCAAGAAAATATAATATTCAATATTTTTCCATTTATCAAATTCATGCATCCATGTGTAAGGAGATGCAGAAGAGCAGCAGCAGAAATTATAGCCGTCCATTCATGTTCGAATACATACGAGAGAGCACACACTGTATACTCGTAGTTTATTTATTTTTCGTATCATGGGATATCTCTTTTCTGCCGAAAAACTTATTTTGATTATTTATAAAACTCTTTGAAAATTGAGTAAAATATTTGTACAACATTTCTAGTCGAGTACTCTGGTAATTGTTTGGGGTTATTGAGGAATTAAATATATTTTGAAAGGGGAAAAACAGGTAAGAAACATCTAGGAGTGGAAGTTTTTCGATTAGAAAATATTTCAAAATTGTATTAAAGAACTAAAGTAACTCTGCAATTCTCTGCCCAAGATTTCTGCTTATTCATTTTATATATATTTTTCTTTTGACTTCTTCATTTCGGCTTCTTCCAAATATTTTGTTTATTATTCAACTATTCTGCAGAGTCTGCGAAAATTCGTAATTATTGCCTTGACATTTACCAAAACGTAATTCTGGCCCGCAAAGAATTTCGCCAGAGTTTCCCCATGATATTTTATCATCAAGTACTTGTGGGACATGTACACAAAATTATTCAATTTCACAAATAATGTAGCTGATAAAGTCAGCAGCAGCAGCAAGGCCTAACCTAATGATTATATCACTGGGCAGTAAAACGGTAAAACAGCTAAACAAGCCCAATGGACTGGCGCACCCGGAAAGTCACTTAAATGTTAAGCCAGGGCTGTTTAAAATCTTATCGATCCTCAATGTCTGATACTGATAATTTATACATAGCTATCAGCGTGTTTAGGTAGCTCTTCAAGAGCCCGTCGCTGACATCTAAAATCGATGTGTAATGAGGTGATTTGGTCACTCAAAGTGCAAGGTCCATTTCCAGACCAAATGTCTACTGATCATTCTGAGATTTCTTTCTGTTTTTTGGCAATCAGCTCGTCTAGACTTTGAAGCAATGACGTTTTGAGAGGCAGCCGAAGAAGCGGATAATTAAAATGAATTAGTATGACGGTATTTGAAATGAAAACTCTTATCAACAGCTTTATGGCTGGCTATTTATAAGACCCCTAATGATGAACCGGATTTTCGACTCCCAGTCGACGGTACATCTGCCTAGAGAAGCAGTAGCCTGTAATCTCTTGATAAGAAATTGCTCCATCGGCAGGGCCGGACTTGGTGGCTTATCAAACAAAAAAAGTGTGTGTTTCTACTTGAGCCACGTACATATGTATGGTCATGGACTGTGGAAAGGGAAGCGCGACTTATAGATTGATTCAATCAATGACAGCAGATGATTGGCTTACATGGGTATGCATAAATCTATTCGCATCTATAACTGGTAAATCAGGAAATGTATGAGAGACTGTACTCGTACATAGGAATTCAATTAAAAACAACTTACTTCAGGGCAATGCGCATCTGATCGGCCACGGCTATATCGAATGACATCTTGCTGTGGTCTCACGCTGCTCTATATCCAATCGATTTCCCTTCTGGGTATATTGTAGGTATATCTATTTTATAGTATATGTATGTCTATCTGTTTGTAAAAGCGTGCCAAACTATAAAATACAATCCGCAAGCTGTTGGAAATCCCAGTGAAAATAAACGCAGGGCAAAAATAAAAAAAAAATCTATAAAGCAAAGGACTGGACAACAGGCAACAGGAATGCCTTGGCGCGAAATGCTTTTTTGATTTTACTTTTTATGTTTTAGAATTTTTGTTTCTATTTTTCACGTACACACACAGAGAAACACACAATGTCACATCACTTGTTGAGTTTTTTGTTGTTGTTGTTGGTCCACTTTCAGTTATTCGTTTTAATTGAAAAACTCAGCCACATATTGACGTTGGGCTTGGGGGCTGGCTTGAAAATTTGTATATTCCAGCTCTGGGAGTAGCCTAAGGCTTTCGTTGCGTTTTGTTCAGGGGCTGGTCGGCAACTGAACAATTTCAAGTAAGCGCCGGCTAAGTTTAGTGTTTCGTCGCCGCAGTCGCGCTGTCGCTGTTGTTGTTGATGATTTTTCCACTCATTTGCTCATTTCATGCCGGCTGTGGGGTCGTATGAGTGATATTCTGGCTCTAGCTCTGGGCTTTGTGTGCGTGCACATTGGCATTGTGTCTGTGTGAATGTGTGAGGGTTTTCCAAGGGTATGTGTGAGGGCTTTTGCATGTGTGTCGCTGTCGCTGGCGCTGTCGATGTCTGTGTTTGCACTCAGAATGAATGCCTGGTGTCTGGTCGAGTGGATTCGCCTGCTGTCCGTGCTGGGCGCCGTGTTTTTGTTTAAGCGTTATCGTTTTTGTTGCTGCTGGTTTTGTTTATTGTTTATAGCATATGCACTGGTGCCGGTCCCTGCCTATCAGCATTGCCTGCTATTGTTATAATTATTGTTATTCGCTAGTCTGTTTGCTCTGCTCGAATTTCGAATTGCTTGTGTGTTTATGTTTGCGGGAATTCAGAATTTCTCAGCTGGCAACAAAGAATTCTATATTGTAGCTCAAAAGGCACAGTTTCCATGGCTTTAATTAAACTAGATTACTCGACCATTACAATTATTTCATTGAGTGCCATTGAGGATACAAATAGATTGCCCTTAAGCTCGACCATGATGGATTTCCACGACTGATATATAATGCAATTAACTAAGTAACTGCCGATATTGTCAATGAGTTTAATAGTCATAGGCCATAGGATTATACGAACAGGATAGAGGAAAATGCGTTGACCAACACAGAATAGTCCACAAAATGTTGGGGGCTCAAACTAGTGGAAATATCGATAGAAGAAATTTCCCTAAATTATATTCTGTAGCAAAAATATTGAAAAGTAATATTCCTATTAATCCTCTAAAAAAGTCTTTGGAAATAGTTTTGGAATAAAGAAAAAATATTCAAGGCCCCTGTTGAGACAACGAGCTTTTTCGCTGACTATGATTGTTCAATAATTTCACAAATTATTAATTTCCGAAAACGTTATAAATTTTATTATAGGTATTTGTGTGTTGAGGGTGGCCAAAGATGCCAGAGCCTTTTACAATAGTATTAGAGTGAAACACTTGGATGAGGCAAGCGAGCCGATCTCGAGCCAAAGTAATAGATTGGGGACAAAAGGGGTCTGTTCTCCAACTATATCAAGCGGTAACTGCTAGAGCAGGCGCAGCTGCTGACGGCTTAGCGACGGCATAGGAAAGAAAAGATAACAAGAGCGAGCATAGATAAGAATAGATGATTAAATGAGAGCATGTTGCTGAGCGAGCATGGATAAAGCTACGCTTACGTTACGTTAGTTTAGTATAATGACCAAAATAGAAAAGAAAGTGAATTGATAGGCAATAAAACAATGGTATAAAATTTACACTCGGGCTTCGCCCGAACATACTCCCCCCGTGGAAGGATCCATGCCTTTCACCTCATCTCGTAGAGGCAATAGACATAGTTTTGCAAGTGCTCTTCGGCTAACACCTGTAGCCATCCTGATCAAGGCGACTCGAGATACGCCATCAGCTCCTGGGATGAGCTCGAGGATTCTCGCTAGAGGCCACTTCAGAGGAGGGAAGTTCTCGTCCTTAACAAGAACGACATCATTGACGTGAAGCTCAGGATTCCGGGTGCGCCACTTCGTTCTTTCTTGAAGACTGGTTAAATACGATTGGCGCCAGCGAGACCAAAAGATTTGCTGAAGCTGTGTGACCTTCTGCCAACGGTCCAAGCGATCGACGTTTAAATGAACCAAGTCAGGCTCCAAGAAGGTTGTGATAGGGGCGCCAACTAGAAAATGGCTGGGCGTGAGTACATCGAGATCTGCAGGGTTCTCTGAAAGAGGAAACAATGGCCTTGAATTAATGATTGCACAGATATTGCACGCGAGCGTGCGCAGCTCATCAAATCCAAGAAGCGAGGATCCGAGGGCACGTCGAAGATGATGCTTAGCAAGCTTGACTGACGCCTCCCACAATCCTCCAAAATGTGGCGATCTAGGAGGAATGAAACGCCAATCGATGCAATCGTTGAGACAAGCTTGATGCACGGCTTCTTGATGACTGTCGCTTAGGAATAGCGACTTAAGTTCCGCCAGTTCGTTCCGCGCTCCAACAAAATTTGTGGCATTATCTGACCAAATACGAATCGGTCTTCCACGGGTGCAAATGAAACGGCGAAGAGCAGAGAGGAACGCAGATGTTGTAAGATCCTTCACAAGCTCGATGTGAACCGCCTTGGTGGAGAAGCATATAAAAATGCTCATGTAGCACTTTAGTGGGGGCCGGTTTCGAACTTCTGATTTATACAGGAACGGACCGCAATAGTCCACGCCGGTAACTAAAAATGCACGAGATTCGCTGACTCTGTCCACCGGAAGATCTGCCATTATTTGCTCGAGAGTTCGAGGCTTCACTCTAAAGCATCTGACACACTTTTGGATTACGTGTGCTACGGTCTTTCGGCCACCGATTGGCCAGTACGTTTGACGAATGATGGCTAATAGCGACTGGGGTCCAGCGTGAAGGTGCTTTTCGTGTAAGTGCCGTATCAGAGCAGAAGTGATGGAATGATTCTTGGGCAATATTATGGGATGCCGTGCTTCAAAGTCCAAGGTAGAGTTTTTAAGACGCCCTCCAACTCGAAGCAAACCGCAATCATCTAAAAATGGCGAAAGAGAGGCGATCGAGCTTGAAGCCTTGATGTCCTTTCGCGTTTCCAGGGCTCTTATTTCAGTGGATAGACGAGATTGTTGAGTAAGACGAATAAGCAGTTCGGTTCCCAAACGCAAGTCCTCCACAGTTATTCCAGACTTTCGTCGATGAATGAATTTGCATACATACGCAAAAATTCGTTGCATTTTGGGGAAGGAATTTACAAACTTTGATTCTTCCACCAAATATCTTGACGCGCAGTTTGTAATTAGTATGGTTTTTCGTGCCTCCAAAACCGGCTCTGGAAGAGCAGGTGTACTTGGCCATTGATCCTTACTGGCTGTCAAGTATGTAGGTCCATACTTCCAAAGATGAGAATTGATGAGCTCAGCTGGTAATGATCCTCGAGAAAGCATATCGGCAGGGTTTAGATCAGTTGGCACGTGCAGCCAAGACATTCCAGATGTGAGTTCCTGAATAACAGAAAGTCTATTAGCGACAAATACATTGAAGTTGGATGGTTGATTCTTGATCCAAGCCAAAACGACTGTGGAGTCACACCAGCAATAATAAGAGCACTTGAAGTTCATCAAAGACACTTCATGCATAAGCTGAGCGAGTAGCGCTGCACCACATAATTCCAACTTGGGTATTGTGATAGTCTTCAGTGGCGCTACACGAGATCTGGAAGATAGAAGATTTGCCTTGACTCCATTGTCGCCTTGCGAAACAGCGTAGATGCAAGCTCCATAAGCACTCATGCTGGCATCACAAAATCCATGCATTTCAAGGTTGCTGCTTCGAAGGAAAGATAGGCGCGGGAAAGAAATTTGTTGCATAGAGTCAAACTGCTGAATAAAATTGATCCAAGTTGTGCGTAAGGAGACTGGCAGACTTTCATCCCAATGAAGCTTTTCTTTCCACAGCTGCTGTAGAAATATTTTTGCTTTAGTAATAACTGGCCCTATAAGTCCGAGTGGATCATAAAATCGTGCAATAGTTGACAATACAACTCGCTTAGTTGGTTTCGAAGGGACTTGATTGGGACAGAATGAAAATAATAGCTCATCCGAAGTGGGATTCCATGCTAAACCTAGCGTCTTGGTTACATCGCTGCCATCAGTAAATTTAACAAATGTTTCCCTATCTTCATGGGGTGTTTGATCGAGTACATATGTATCGTTGGAACACCATTTTCTGATCTTGAAATTTCCTTTGGCTAATAGTCCTGACACCTGGCGAATTATTTCCAGCACCTCATTTGTAGTATCTCCCCCCGTTAGCAAATCATCCACGTAAAAGTCCCGCAGCACAACTTCAGAGCCAATTGGATATGACGAACTCTCGTCTGCCGCTAGTTGGTGCATAGAACGGACGGCCAGAAATGCTGCTGGTTTCGTTCCATAGGTCACGGTATCCAGCTTGAATGTCCTTAGCTCCTCGAGGGGTGAGTCACGCCACAGTATGCACTGCAGAAAACTATCTTGGGGCGAGACACGGACGCATCTATACATTTTACAAATGTCACCAGTCAATGCTATACGAAAGGTACGAAATCGAAGAAGAGTCGTAACTAACTTTGGCTGAATTGTTGGGCCTGACATCAATATATCGTTGAGGGAATATCCTGTAGATGTACAAGCGGATCCGTCGAAAACTACTCGGAGTTTTGTGGTGGTTTTGTCTTCTCTTAAGACGCAGTGATGAGGAAGAAAAAATTTGCATTGTTTAAGTGCGTCACTTTTGACAGGGGACATGTGATTCAAATCGACGTATTCCTTTATAAATGCGGCGTATTGGGCCTTGAGAAGCGGTTTGCGAACCAACTTGCGCTCTAGATTGAGAAATCTGCGATAGGCTTGTTGATAAGAATCTCCAAGAAGACTGTCACTCAGCTTTAAAGGCAATTGAACGCAATATTCGCCACTTGGAAGCCGACTGCAATGTTTTTTGAAATGTTCCTCGCAAGCAATTTCCTCCTTTGTTGCTTCTGTAGCGGGACCGTGGCAGTTTTCCACTTCCCAGAACCTTCGCACTAGCTCATCCAAACCAACGGTAGGCGTTTGACTCAATTCCGTCGAACTAGAGGCAGCTAGGAGCACTGAGCTGCGGGAGTACTGACCTCCACCTGTGACAACCCAGCCGAGACGGGTTTTTTGTATTATAGGAAGTCCCCTCTCCAATTTGATCTGTCCAACGCATAAAATGTCGTAAAATAAGCTGGCTCCAATAAGTACATCGATGCGCTGAGATTTGTTAAAGTGTGGGTCAGCAAGGCTGATATTGGATGGCATTTCCCATTTGGATACATCAAATGAAGAAGCAGGCTGGTTTCCTGTAATACGTGGAGCAACGAGAGCTGTGAGACTCGTGAAGTAATCGGAAGTCCTGGATTGAATGACCAAATTAACTGAACCTTCCGTGTGAAATGCAGAATCAGCGCCGATACCCGATACTGATACCGACCCTTTGGCTCGTTTCAGCTGAAGCCTCTGAGCAAAGCGAGAGGTTATTAAATTAATCTGAGAGCCTGAATCCAGAAGAGCCCGGCAAGGAAGAAGATCACCAACTCGACTCTTTATCATAATGACTGTCGTGGCTAGAAGCACTACGTCTGAGCTAAGATTCTGAGCAGGAGGCGAGCATGGTGATGAAGCGGCAACAAGAGAACTTGAAAGATTGGGGCCTGGGCATAAGTCTGTCTGAATAGGAGACGTAGTAGCGTTTGCAGGTTCCGTGTTAACTGACGTAGGCAGCGGATTGTTGATATGTAAAAGGGTATGATGCTTTTCACCGCATGTGCGACAAGAGCCTGAACTGCAGGAGGTATTCCGATGTCCCTTCTTCAAACAGTTGAAGCAAACTCTAAGCTTCCTTGCCTCTCTAAGACGCAAAGATGGCGAAAGGTTTCCAAAGCGAGTGCAGCTGTAAATGTTATGCCCTTTATTATCACAGAACACGCATTCCAATACGATTGTATTTGTAGCAACAAGACTGTGTTTTGAATGAGTGATTCGTTTATGTTTTCCAACCTGACTGCTATGGATTTGAATCGACATAGCTTGATCCATGGTCTCCATGGCTTGACATCTCCTCTCCAAAAAAGCCGAAAAATGGTCCCATGTTGGTATGACGTTAGGGGGCGACAGCTCCTCCCATTTGGTCCTGGTATCAGAGTCGAGATACTTGTATGTGGAGTTAACGATGATGCATCCAGCTATTTCCTCCATGGTACCCATCGATCTAAGCGCTCTCATGTGAGAATGAAGCTTGTCCGATAAAGTACGTAGCTTTGTAGTTGACCCATCTTCAACCTTCTCATGCCTCAGAATCTCAGCGACGTGTGCCTGAAAGATTAAACGTTTATTATTGAAACGATTGTTTAAAATGTCCAATGCAATATCATAATTGCTCTCCGATACTTCCAAAGAGCGAACAGCCTCCAGGGCAGGTCCATCCAAACATGAGCGCAGGTGCTGGAACTTCTCAATCTTTGATAGAAAGGGCTCCTGATCTATTACTGTGCTAAACATCGAGTAAAAGTCTGCCCACTCAGTATAACCTCCACGGAAAGTGGGAAGTTTAATGTCAGGAATATGATATCGTGACCGTACATTTCCGGAGGCAGTAACGTTGAGCTCGGGTCGTATCGTTGAGTGATGCGGCATGTTCTGGGTAGTCCTGCGGAGTGCTGAGCGAATACGAACTTCGATTTCCATCGCCAAATCGTCAAAGTTGTTGCTTAAGTCGCTGCCAATTTCGCTTACATCAAGCTCTTCTAAATTAGAATGAGTAACATTAAATGAGTCGGATATTTTTTCCAAGAATTTTAAATGAACACTTAGCGCATCTTCACTGATTGGGTTGTTTTCATCATTCAATATCGTCTCTCGAAGTGAAACGGCTTTGTTGTATATTGAGAGTGCCTTTAGTTTGTAAAAAGACACCCTGTTTTCCGGCACGTCATTAGACTCATCCATTTTCGACAGGCAGCAGCGAGCAAAGCACAAAGAAGAATCGAAGAACCAACCGTTTGATTTTTTTGGTATGCAAGCGCAAGTGCAGCGAACCCGAAGCCGCTAATGCACGTAGCTGTATTAGTGCTTGTAAGCAAGCGCGCGACGAAATGGGAACTAACCGCTTCGCGTTCGAACAGTTATGTTTAGCGGATAATTTTCACTGTTTATAATTGTTTATTTCCAAATTGTTACTGACGATCACGTCGGGGTCACCAAATGTTGAGACAACGAGCTTTTTCGCTGACTATGATTGTTCAATAATTTCACAAATTATTAATTTCCGAAAACGTTATAAATTTTATTATAGGTATTTGTGTGTTGAGGGTGGCCAAAGATGCCAGAGCCTTTTACAATAGTATTAGAGTGAAACACTTGGATGAGGCAAGCGAGCCGATCTCGAGCCAAAGTAATAGATTGGGGACAAAAGGGGTCTGTTCTCCAACTATATCAAGCGGTAACTGCTAGAGCAGGCGCAGCTGCTGACGGCTTAGCGACGGCATAGGAAAGAAAAGATAACAAGAGCGAGCATAGATAAGAATAGATGATTAAATGAGAGCATGTTGCTGAGCGAGCATGGATAAAGCTACGCTTACGTTACGTTAGTTTAGTATAATGACCAAAATAGAAAAGAAAGTGAATTGATAGGCAATAAAACAATGGTATAAAATTTACACTCGGGCTTCGCCCGAACAGCCCCTCAACCAACCTTAAGGCAAAATAAAATTAGAAAAACAGTATTCTAATCTATATTCATAAGGAAAAACACTCGACAAACAGCTAGAACCTCAACTTAATAAAAACTATCACTGGTAAAGAATTTTCTAAATTATAATATAGTTTTATAGATAGACATAAATATATGTATAGTCACTGCGCCATTTCCCGGTTTTGCCACGCGATCTAACGTGTTTGAATCAAGTTAACAGTATAATCACCTAACAATATTTACTATATACTCGTATATACATTTATTGCAATATTTTTTTGTATATAAGGTACTTAATTGGTCAATTACTCGTCTAGCAGTCGATCGAATTGCCCTGCTGTCCAGAACCCTTCCGGTGGCTTGTTTCGTTGATAATTTATTAAGAGCTTCATAGGCACTGCTCTTGGGCTCCTCCTAAGGGCTCATCACCTGATTTTAATGAATTTTCAATTAGATAAGTTGCACATGGAACAGCCAGAGGCAGCCAAGGACATTAAATGTTAAATGATAGGCCCAAATGCCAGTGGCAGTAAGAGAGTGGAGACCCGAGACCTGTGTCCAGGCCGGTCATAAATTATGGAATAAGCAACCTACCAGAACAGACAGCAGAACAATGTGCATGCACTCTGTAGGTACTCGTAAATAAACCACTCCGATGCAAGATAATCAGCATTAAAAGATATTAATGTGAACTGTACTTTAAAGGCATATATTTGACTTTAAGATTAGTAGATTTCTGATGTGGTCAAAACGATCAACAGAATGGTTTTTAAAACTTCTAGAATTTTAATAAAACAAATACGATTTTGTTTCCCCCCCTCCTAGTGTGGGCGCTTCTCGGCATTCTTTTTGGTGAACTCCTCGGCATTCTTCATGAACTTCTTGCGATTGGTGACAAACTCCTCGGCCACATCGGCCCGCAAAGAATGTTCGGGCTCCGGTTCATGAAGGATGCCCACAAGAGCCTCCAGTACCTTTTCTGTGCTGGTTGTGGGCTTCCAGTTGTCCGAGCTAATGATGGGCAGACACACCAGACCAGTTTCATCGATGTTGGGATGATAGATCTTCGTTTTAAACATGACCTTGGGTGGCTGGAAGGGATACACGTCGGGGAAGGTCACCTCAATGCGAAAGGCACCCTTGTTGTAGGGTGGACGCTCTGGCACCAGCAGGATCTTCCACACCATAATCGATTCATCGCTGGCCTGAATGTTGCACCAAGTCTTCTTTTCGACAGATCCAAGCAGATCGGCGAGCTCCCGAGTTAAACGCCGTGTGGCACTCATTTTTCCGAGGGTAAAAACGTTTGTAGGGAATAAAGTTTAGAATTTCTAAAGTCGAAAAAAATGGAACGATGTTTGCTAGTCCGAACTGGGCGGAGACTGAAATATAGCTGTGATTTCTGACAGAAAATCCAGTGTTCATCTTAAAGATTCTTTTGTAAGTTCTTTTCAATAAGAAGTTGTGAATTTAAGGAAATGCAACATTCCATTTAACTATCTTTATTATATCTGTCTATGTCAGATACTGAAGTGCTATAAGATATACCCTCGCCTCACAGTTCCAGCTCCTCAGAAGAGTAGCTGCTTATTATCCACGTAAAGACTCTGCCAGACCTTCAGTTTGGGCCATTCGGGCAGTTCAATATGCTTCAGTTCATCGCTAATATTTAGACACTTGAAGACCTCATCGGATTTGCGTACTGGGTCCCATGTCAGCGTATCCATTCCATTGATCTTCTCGCTATAGGGATTGCCCGTGGCCGCGAACTGTGTCCATATGCCAATGGTTCTCTCGATGTTCCGGTATTCCCTGCTGTCCTTGGGCAGACGACGGGCCAGTAGGCTGCTGAACTGATAGCCCAAATCGTCGGCATGGCTCACACCCTTGACCCCGCGACCAAAGCGCATAAGTCTATAAGGGTATATAATCTCTTCGGAATCGAAATCATACCGATAGAAGTACACAGGGGCGCCAGCGGCATGGGCATGGCGAGAGTGCACCACCCGCAATGCAGGAAAAACAAAGTAAAATAGTGAACAAACCTGGAAAAGAGAGAAATTAATCAATATTCAGATATATAAATAGGAAAAACTTACATCCATATAGTTATCGGCGGTGGCGGCATCCCCGGTACGATGTGCATCGCGTATTTTCGAGCCCCACAGTTCTATCGCTTCCTTTGAGGGCTCCGTGGCAAGCAATTCACGTGGTATGAAAGGAGTGCCAGCATCCACCTGCTTCACCGTTTGTGGCAGCATTTTTATCTCTAAAAAATAGCAAACAAATCACAGATTTCCCAGAAGTAAACTCTTTAGAGAGTATCCCTACCTGGCAGCCACAGTAGACCCTCGTAGGATGTATTTCCTATCAGCATGGGTATGGTATTGCTCCAGGCGGTCTTCATCATTTCGATGGGAGGCTTAGGCACCACACAATCGGGGGTTGTATAGGGCTCCAGCGATGGGCCAAAGGCAAACATTATCTTATTCGTGCGATCCTCCAACGTTAGAACATTCTCCTCGACACGTATCAGATCTTTGGCCTTTACATTCTGCAAAAACTCCAGCACATCCTTGTCTTTGTCCTCGCCCTTGTAGCCAGCCAGTTTGGCTATTCTATAGGGGTTGTGGGTGATGTCTCCATTGTAGGCCCAAGGGGCGATGGCACTGCCCGACTGCAGGATGCCGCGATGGAAGAGACCCTGCGTTTGGTCAGTGATCATCATGTAGTGGGTGGAGGCAGCTCCGGCACTCTCGCCGAACACTGTGATGCAATTGGGATCGCCACCGAAGTTGGCGCAATTGTTTTTGATCCATTTGAGAGCCATCACCTGATCCTTGAGGCCCGCATTGCCAGGGACATTCAGCTCGGGGGACTTTAAGCTAAGGAAACCTGAAAAAGGATACAAAAAAGTTACTTAAAATCCCCTTTGGAGTTGGTTTTCGCTTACCTAAGGCTCCCAGGCGATATTGAATGGTCACCAGAACAACGTCTTCCTTGATAAAGTAGTCCGGTCCATACCAATCCCTATTGGCTTCGCCAACGATGAAGCCACCGCCGTGTATCCAAACCATAACAGGGCGTGGCTTATCGGGGGTCACCTTAAGGGGATAGAAAAATATACATGGACATACATGTATGTGAGTTGTTTGTGGGGCAATAATCATGGAAACCCAATCAAATATTAATTTCTACTCACATTATTGGTATAGACATTCAAATAGAGGCAATCCTCAGAGCCCTCTACCTTATCGAGAACGAATTGCACCTGGACGGACTTATCCCTCGCCTGACTACAGTCCCTTTCCCCCTCCCACGGGGTGGGTCGCTGGGGGGCCCTGAAGCGCAGCTCGCCAACGGGTGGCTGGGCATAGGGGATGCCCTCGAAGCTGAAGTAGGGCACATCGTACATGGACAGACGCTTCAGACCCCTCACTTTGCCGTACTCGGTGTCGGCAACAATGGTCTCATTGGTGGTCTGGCGATACTGCTGGACTTTATGCTCGATGGTTCTGCAAAATGTACGACAGAGTTGTACTATAATTAGCATAACAATATTGGATCCGGTGGGAAGATAATTTGATATTTTTGTCACAGAGTCAATTATTTTAATTCGTTCTCAAAGCCCCACATTCCAGGGGCTGTCTCTCTGTCTGTCGGTACAGACTGCATGCATTGCATTAAATTTAAATTGTTTTGCCTGTCTGCCCATCCCTCAGACACACAGATACACAGATACACAGATACAGTGGCAGCTACAGATACAGTAGCAGCTCCCCAGCCTCTGTTTCAGTCGACTGTGTGTGTGTTGTGGTCCACCTGCTAACCCAGGCACGTCTGTCAGTGATAAATTAACAGACACTCTCTTCTGCTGACTAGTTTCGCCCCAAAATTTAAAGCCCGAGAAGTTCCAGAGTTCCTAAATCATTCTGCGGGAGATGCTGCCCATCCTTTTGGACTCCACACCACACCAGAAAATAATCTGTAATCTTGGGAATATATTATAGCCATAAGCCATTGTTCCTACTCTCTTATCAGCAGCTGTCAGTGTTATCACTCCACAGGGACAGAGAGAGAGAGAGAGAGAGAGCTCTTAAGTAGACTTAATTGCTTTACTTTTAATTTAAAAAACACGTATATAAAATTGCAATCATCCGAATGTACTGTGCAGAGGTCCGGGTGATGTATATAAATATAAACATTAATTGCAAATTATTAGTCCCCAGCACACAAATTTTATTATGAAAAATAGTTTATAATTATACGCACGTCAGACAGAGTTAATTACATTACAAAATAAAATCACACCTTTTTAGCTGTCAATGTGATATAATTTTAATTTGCCAATTAATTGGCAAACGAAATGGTGGGTGGGGGAGAGGAAACATTTTTAAAATGCGATAATCGACTGCAATATCAAGGTCACAGAATGATAAGAACTGTACTTAGAAGACTGTAGGATTGTGATAAGTTTGGAAGAATTGAATAAAAATCACTGGAAAATACACTGGAATTCATTTTAATTTCACCATGTTATCAAATGTTTGCTTTGTACTTGGCTACAGTACTCATTTTTCTGGGTGCAGCCTATAATGATATTCTATTTACAGATAAACAACATCTTCAGTTACAAAACAAAGTAACCAAAAATATAATATAATAAACCCCATTTGTTTATGCAAAGTCATTACTATATCGATTATAGAAACAGTTGCGCAATTAACGTGAAGACCTTATGGCCATAAAACTTACACGTTATTCTGATTCCGGCAATAAGTAAAACAATTTTGTGAATTAATGCTAATATGTGACATTTTAACAGCCGTAGACATAAAAACTTTTTCGCATTTATTGGAGAAAGTTTTCGTATAATATTGAAATGGTGGGATTTATGGATTGGATTGGATGGGATTTATTTACTGAATGATTTTGGGAATAAAAATGAATATTACAGGCAAAATTTGTTTGCAATTGTTTGACAGAGAGAAGTTTCTTAGATGTTTGCTGGATCATTATTTATTAAAAATTCAGTTTCTTGTATTTTCCGTACAAAATAAATGTTTAGACTGAATCAAATAAGTTTTTAAACGATGTTTCCAGCCATAAAATGACAGTAAATGATGACCTAAGTCACTTTCTATATTCGATATGCCCCCAAGTTTGCGTCATGCTTCAACGTTTAATCTTTCAGAACCGCACGAAAAAAACCTCAATTAGATCACTAAAATATTATTAATTCCTGCCACCCTACAGCGTTAGTCATGCCTGACAAATAATGAATAACGAAAACTGTTAAAAAGCGCCGATCGGACAAAAGAACACGAAGCCGCACAAAAAAAATTGACAAAAGCTAACCGCAACAATAGTACGTGAAATGTACACTCTCCCGACATTAATAAAGAATAATTAAATATAGTAATAAGTTATTTGGATTAAGGTCAAACATTTGCTACTCACTTGAGGCGCCATCGGAGGCGCTCCACAAAGCCGAGGTTCTTGTTCATGTTCGACGACGGACGGACGGTCTAGTTAACCATAAACGAACCGATCAGTATTCTTTCTATAATTAGATGTCCCACGATCTCCAAAATGCGTTCCGTTGCGTTCCAGCGGCAAACTGAAACTGAAATTAAAAACAAACTTTTTCATATGGAATTCCAGCCGGCGGCCGACGAGAGCGAGCCAGCAGGCAGAATAGGCGAAAACAAGTGGCAAAAAAAAAATTTAAAAATATACTACATTAACACAAATATCGGAATACAAATTAAACAAAAAAAAAACAGACACACACAGAAGAAAGAGTGGAGAAAGACAGGGGTGAGCGAGCGGAGAAAGAGAGGAGAGGAATATGTATGGCAGAAAGCAGATATTGTATTTTCAAGTGCGGAGCCAGAGAGATAAACAGAAAACAGCAGCAACAGAAACCAGAACTGGAAAAAGAAGAGAGCACAGAGTCGAATATTTAGATACTCTAGCATATACAAGATGGTTGAGTCACCTTTGGCTTTGATTTATGTGGAAATGTATGATACAAGTTTTTGTAAGTGGAACAGAGCTTACAGTCAAAGTCTTTGATAACCTGACATATACTATATTGGCTGTATGAGATAAACTTAAATAAGATAGGTTCAAAATTTCTATGAGTTTATCCATAAAGTTTGTTGTGTTTGGTTTTATTAACAAAGTGAAAGTTGATGGTGTACTTAATGGAACTCCAATTAGTACAATTTATTAGATTTTTACAAAATCAAAGTGTATTCTCATTATCTATTTTTTAGAATCACAAATGATTTCCTCGAATGAGTAGCAAATATCTTCCCAAAACAAGTATACCCTCCCATATATTAGTGTATACTAAAATCACAGTAACAACAACCGATCATTGAGCCGTGGAGAACGTAGAGAAGATGGAGAAGCGTGTGGGCTGTGTAGAGAGCTTTTGGTTTTTGTGGGGGCTTTGGAGCAGCGCACAACACCTCTTTAGACGCGCCTCAGGCGAATGCATAATGAATCGACACTGCGCAAAATGAAATCTTTATAAGCGAAGCATTTTTTAGCACTGTAGACAAAGTTCTCAAGTCTTAGCTTAGGTCAGTCGAAAAGCCGGTTGTCGAAGAGTGGGTCAACGTCGACGTCAGCACTAAGCACCAAACACCACTGTGATCGTGCCTGCGAAAAAAACACTGTAAATAAAACGAAACAATTTTACGGGCAGTTTTACGCATCGCTTGGACAAAAGCTCGGAGATGTGGAGAGGGGCAAAAGCTGTTGCACAGCTTTGGAATAAGCTTTAAAGCCAAAGCTTGCAAAGCAGTTACGGCCTGCAAGTGTATGGTATATAAAAAATAATCTAAAAATCGTATAGCAAGGGTTTTAAAATGAAGAAATTTTGATGGGACATTGTAGATCATTTTACAGAAATTTGTTAGTACGATTTTTAGCACAAATTATTGGTAAATTGTGGCCCGCATTGCCTCTCAGAAGTAGAATACTTTTAGGAACACATTTATTCAGGCACCATAAAGTTTAGCCTTATTATCATATAGACGATTCCACACCTCCAGGCCATCCTTTTCGTACTGCGTTATAAACTCTAGCTGATATCCTATATTCATAGCCTTGTAGGGCATCTTTTCGGTGAGGGGTGACCAGGGCTCCGACTTCGTTTCGGCACAATTAGGATCTCCAGTCTTCGCAAAGGCTGTCAGAATGCCCACCATCCTTTGTATAGTGAGATATTCAGCAGAGTCCAAGGGCAGTTTCTGTACGCCCTTCTTGTGAAACACATAGCCCATGTCATCGGCATGACAGACACCCCGCTTGATGTCATCGCCGCATAAGCGATTTCGCATTAGATTAAAACTCGAGGAATCAAAGTCGAAGCGGTACAGATAGGTGGGGGCCTGGGCATGGGCCAAGCGAGAGCGTACAACGCGATGTATACCATGCCAGAAGAGTTTGTAGCTGAAGAGCTACAAAAAAGAGGAATTATAAGTAAATCTAAACCAGAGATGATTGGCTACTCACATCCAGAGTCTGCATCACATTCTGTTTGGTTATCCCTTGGGGTCCATAGTGATATTTGACTAGTTCCTTAGCACTAGCCTTGCGCACCTCTTCGGACATCGTGAGAAACAGTTCATTGGGCAGCACCATTGATGGTTCCTGTTTGAGGTAATCCAGCATAATGCCATTGCTCAGCTTGCAGAAGGGATAGAAGACCAATCCTTCGAAGGAGGTGCCGCCCAGCAACAGGGGAACCTCTGTGGACCAGGCATCCCTCATCATGTCCAGATATGGCTTCTGGACCAGACCCCTCTCACACTGGGCCTCTTCCACGCCCGGCACAAACGGATAGAGAAAGCCAGAGCATCGATCGTGAAAGGTGTAGGCATTAAGAGCGTACTGCACCAATTTCTTGGCCTCCACCCAGCGAAGGTACCGCAGCATATCCTTCTCCCTGCGTGGTCCCACATAGCCAGCAGCCAGTGCCAATTGGCAGTACAAACTGGCTCGACCCGGGATCTGTGCCCACGGATTCAGCATCGAGCCAGACATCATAATGGCCTTATGGAAGAGGCACTTGGCCTGCGGCAGGCACATCATGAAATGCACCCCCACAGCCCCTGCGCTCTCGCCGAAAAGCGTGATGTTCTCCGGATCGCCATTGAAGTGCTGAATATGCTGTTTGATCCACTTGAGAGCCAGCAGTTGATCGTGCAGTCCCGCATTGCCGGGGACATTCGATTCGATGCTGGGCAAACTGAGAAATCCGAGAGCGCACAGCCGATAGTTGAAGATCACGTACACAATGTCCTTGGACATCAAATAATCCGGGCCGTACTTCTTCCGCGTGGCACCGCCAGTGCGAAAGGCACCACCATAGATATAGACCATGACGGGAAGAGGAGGCTTTGTTTTATCGAACTGAAAGAAAGAAATAAGTATTCAAAGACGCCACTTGATCTCCTGATCCTTCACTCACGTGCTTGGTGTAGACATTCAGGTAAAGGCAATCCTCACTGCCAATGGTGCTGCCTCCAAGTAACTCCATCTGCAGGGGTATGTCCCTTTCCTGTTGGGCATCTAGCTCCTGACCCTCCCATGGATCTGCGGGCTCTGGGGCCACAAAACGGAGATCAGCCAGCGGTGGTTTGCCAAAGGGAATGCCCTCAAAACTGAAGAACGGATCGCCATAAATGCCACACTGTCGGCGACCCTTCACACGGCCCATGGGCAGATCCACGATCTTTGTTTCAGCATAACTACGTCTGGGAGTAAGACGGAGAGACCTGCACACCAACTGCAGATACTTTTTGTGGTTACAACCTGGCACATAAGGTTTCCACATAATAAAATCTAATTTATCGAAACATTTGAACGAAGTCTTAAACCTTTTTTGATGGCCAACTGAGATCAGTATTGCATATAATTATAATTTACATATTTCGATCTCAATACAACAAATAAGAACTACATTTATTTGGGAATCGGTGTCACATTTAGGACGTCACAGTCGGCGCAGCTACAGTCAGGGCTGTAGGTATGATCCAAGAAGTCCACATTCTTTTCTTTCTTCTGTTTCTTAGGGGCTATGTCTTGGTTGGCCACCAGTGTCACATCCAAGACGTTACACTCGGCACAGCTGCAGTCAGGGTCATGCCCCTCCTCAAACATCGCAAAGAGCTTCAAATCTTGTTCTTTCTGCGGAATATTTTCAAAATTTGCAGTTGTATTTTGTTCCTTAATGGTGTCCTCTTTAGGTTCTTCAATGTTTTGCTTGTTGGATTCACAAGTCGGGGGTTCAGCGTCCTGGAAGTGGACTTCATCTTCATCTTCTTTTTGGCTTTGAATAAATCCTATTTTGATCAGCAACTTATCAAAGTCTGTCTTCTTTAGATCGTACAACTTTGGCAAAGTAAATACCAAAATATGACCTTAAAAAAAAGAATGGAATCCTGATTTAAAATCTATAAAATAGAGATGGAAAAAACTCACCCATCAACAGCAGATTCATGAAATTCAAGTAATCCCCAAGCATATTAATTAAACACAGTCCGGCCAACATCTTCAACGATTCTTGCAGATCCTCCACAAGCAGCAGCCCAATCATTTTGTTAATGAATGCATTCAACTTCACGACAGCCACTCCGGCCAGACGCATTGTCTCCTCTTCTGGTATGTTGCATGTCATCAAAACATGGAACCGATACGAATAGTATTCCTCATTGTTGTTCCTTCTGTTCCACAATTCCAGGACCTCCACGAAGAAGCGATACCCCATGGCGCCAAGGATGATGGTGATGGCCAACATGCTCACCACACTGATTGCCGAATGGCTTATTGTGTCCACCAACAGGATCAGAATGATCGTAAAAACAAACAGTGTTCGCAGAAAGTTGCGCCACAGTACCAGGTTCTTCAGTTCCATCAGCAGCTGTCCAGTGCCTTGATCCTCCAGAGGACGTGGATTAATGCCAACAGCGTTTTGCGTAGCCATTTCGTAAAATTTCTTATTAATCAGAGAAAAATGAAAGCGCACTCGTTCAAGTTCTACGAATTCTTTTAGTATTCAGGGAAAACTATTTTTGCTAGGCCAACTATTGATTTTGAAACCAAAACCAAAAAATGATATTGTATGTGACTCAAAATGAATAGATTTATGATCCAAAGCTTACTAGATCTATAATGGTGTGACTGTCTATCGATATCCCGATTGCCAGGCAACAGAGGGGCGTTACCACATGATGCGGTACAAGTGTAACCGAAACCATTCCTTACATGCACAAAAGTAGTTAGAAAATAGAATTTTCAAACGTTTTTAACACAATTTTTTTTTTTAAACCATTTTTCACAGAATTTCCCTTTTTGTTTATGGATCCCTAGAATATGAATGGACTGTGAATCCCTAGAATAAATTCTCTGGCTTATAAATGCTATCCCACACAAGAAGTTTCTCATACTCCGGCAGATCCACAATCTTAACATCCTCACTTATGTTGACCACACGCTTGGGCGCCGACTTTTTCGCTGGCTGCCAGTCCACTTCGCTAATTTCGGCACAATTCGGGTTGGAATTGGCAGCAAATGCCGTCCAAATGCCAATCATTCTCTGAATGGTGCGATATTCCCCTGATGTTTTCTCCAGTTTCCAGGATTCAGAGTTACGGAACAAATAGCTCAGGTCATCGGCATGGGCAACGCCTTTCTGTATGTTGTCGCCGCAGAATTTCTTACGATAGAAATTAAAGTTCGGGGAATCAAAGTCAAAGCGATAGAAATATGTTGGGGCACGGGCATAGGCGAATCTGGCCTGCAAAGTGCGATTCAAGCCATGCCAGAAGACCTTATAGGAATAGTACTAAATGGGGAGATAGATACAAATTTAATAAAGATACAAATATCTGAAATATTTGTACTCACATCCAGCATATTCATAAAAAGCTTAGAGCTTGGTGTAGCATCGCCAAAGGTCATCTTGAGCATTCTCTCGCTGTACTCCAGATTCTCCTTCTCCGTACTAATCAAACGCACATCATGGGGGACCATTTTCAGGGGATCCTGGCTTAAGGTATCCAAACCCTTGAGATTAGCCGCCACAGCGGGATACATAAAGAGACCCTCAAACGATGTGCCACCCAGCATTGCAGGCAGCTCGTTGGTCCACGCCTCGCGGGCCATTTCCACTGGCGATTTGGGCACCACGCAGTCCTCACCCACATACGACTCTATCGTGGGTCCAAAGGGGAAGAGCATACCATTCCGGCGATCCTCGGGCGTTAACAAACTGTGGCGAACTAGCTCCAATGCCGGCACCCCTCGCAAATGCTCGAGCACCTGTGCATCCACATTCTCACCCGTGTAGCCATGGTGTTTGGCCAAGCGATAGGCAAAGTCCGATCTCGCGGTATTCGCCCAGTAGTTGTGGACGGTCCCCGACATCGGTATGGCTTTGTGGTAGAGTCCTCGCGTCTGCTCTGTGCACATCATGAAATGTGTGGAGCATCCGCCGGCACTCTCGCCGAAGACCGTTATATTTTCGGCATCGCCATTAAAGTGGGAAATGTATTTCTTGACCCATCGCAGAGCCAGTACCATATCCTTAAGCCCCGCATTGCCTGGAACTTTGAGACTGGGATCCGTGAGGGACAGAAAACCTGTAAAGAGAATTTTGAGAGGAATATTAGTCGGTTTACGTCTTCTGGTGTGGTCTGGATGTGGTTTGCGAATTTTGATTAGCACTCATGAAAATATTGCACTATCATATCATAATCGTACAACAGCGTGAGAGTTTGAACCCTAACGATAACATTAATTATTGATAAGATACCCACTCACTCACCCAAGCAGTCCACACGATAATTGAAAGTCACCAACAGAACATCTTTGGCCATAAAATAGTCAGGAGCATATAATTCGCGTGTGGCCTCGCCCACGGTGAAGGCCCCGCCGTAAATGTAGACCATGACCGGCAGAGGTTTTTCGCTCTACAAAAAGAAAACAAACAAAAACATCAATTATCATAATCAATACGATTGATTGTAGGTCTCTCTCTCTCTCTCTCTCTCTCTATCGCTCTCACCGGCTTGGCATAGACATTCAGATACAGGCAGTCCTCGTTGCCCTCGATCACCTGTGTCATGAAATTCTTTTGCACTGGCTTCTCCGCATAGTGGCTACAGTCCAGCACACCAGTCCACGGCTCTACGGGCACGGGGGCCCTGAAACGCAGCTCGCCAATCGGGGGCTTGGCAAAGGGCAGCCGCTCGTAGCTGTAGTACGTATCATCGTACAGGCTTTCACGCTTCACGCCCTTGATCTTGCCCAGCGGCAACGTAATTACACATTCGTCTGCTCTGCTAATGGGGAAATCACATTTACTCAAATGAAAAGCACAAATTCATTTCCATAAACCACTCACGCTTTAGTCATAGCTCTGGTGTGACGGTCTGTTCGCCGCGCGTGTTTTCTGTCAACTGAAACTGAAAAAAAAGCTACACAGGGGTCGCGTAAAACATGTCCACTGATAGAGCTTTTCCGTTTGTAGAGTTATCTGGAATTAGTTATGGTTCTATGGAAGATCTCTTATCAAGCTAAGGGGTTAATTAACATAGGTTTGTTGTTGTTCAGGAGATAATGCTGGGTTTTATACAAATTAAATTATAAATCGTATTAAATTAAATGTTAAAAAAAGATTAGGCGGCTATTTCCTTAAACTTTGAAGGTTTGACAGCAGAAGGCAGAACCGACTAAGGGGCACTGCTGCATTACGCGTACATGTTCGAAATTATAACGATTCAATAAACTTTTAAATGCTACAAATTTCGGAATATGTGTGCATCATAAACTCCAAGCCAAAGCTTTTTATTTGCAGAAACGCAACCGAGGGGCGCTGCAGCATGTCGCCGAACACGTTTGGAGAGAAATTTAAGAGTTTTTAAGGAGCTATAAACTAAACATTAAAACTATTTACTGGGAACTACTAAGTATCTTTTAATGAATTTATGTCAGAAGCCCTTCGCGTTATGTGTTTTGCTATAATATTGTCTTTCCCTGTACTTCTTGAGTACCGGAGTACAAAAATAGTTTTGAATCGTGTATTCCTATCTTATCCATCAAATTTTATATACCAAAAAGTAAGTCTAAGGCCTTGCGCAATGCATAAAGTGTTGGATATAAACCAAAAAGTAGAGATAATCTTTTAGACAACAAGCTAAAAAAATCTTTCGAAAAAACACCTCAAATATCTGGCATCTCTTAAAGCTAACCCCAAACCTAACTAAAGCTCTTATCTTTGACAAATTATAAAGAAGATTTTGAAAAATTTCCAGACAAGCACACAAGATTGATAAGCAATCGATGGCCATCAGATTAGATTTGGGGTTTATTGGGTGCCATGCTATACTTAAAACAGAGCCACGCCAGCCTGTTCGTACAGGCGTTGGTAGAACATTAATTTCTGTCGCTCTGGCTGTGCTATGAACTTCAGTTCTTCATTTATATTAAGGATCATGCGTGGTCCGAATCGTGTGACGGGCTTCCATTGCACCAAAGGTTTGGTTAGCTCTGCATTGGGGTCAGAGGTGGCGGCAAAGCTCACAAGCATCGCAACCATGCGACAGATGTTGACGTATTCCGGTCGGGATTTATCCAGCTTAAAGGTGGCGGGGATCACATAGATGTACCCCAGTTCATCCACATGGCTCACGCCGCGCTGCTCCTTACCAAAGAACCGAATGCGATACAGATTAAAGTCCGGGGAATCAAAGTCGAAGCGATAGACGTAGGTGGGTGCCTGTCCATACGACAATCGTGCCATTATAAAACGCTCCTGCGAGTGCATCATGTTGTGGGTCCAGAGATCTGTCAATCCATCCGTGTGCTCCATGACCAATCGATGACCGTGTGCCTGACAGAAATAATCGAGCAGCGACTGGCCTAGCTGTCGCCGCTGGCCAGGGTCGCAGCGATTGAGCAGCGTCTGCGGCAGGACACACTCTGGATGCTTTTGTATCTGCTGCAGGGCTGTAGCATTCCTTAAAATCGGATTAAAGGTCAGTCCTTCGCCGCTATTGGCGCCTATAATCACGGGTATGCGATTACTCCACGCCGTACGCTGCAGGACAATTGGTTCCGACAACAGCACCGCCTGGGGCGTCACATAACTCTCCACTGATGGCACAAAGGGCATCATACGACCCAGCTCTTTTTCTAGGGGCGTCCAGAAATCTGCAGAGACCAACAGTTTTGGATCAGCGGCAGCTATGAACTCAAACACTTTCGCATCAATATTCTCGCCCTCGTAGCCCAAGTGCTTGGCCAGACGATACTCCATATCGGGCAGGCGATTCAGCTCTGGGGAGACGCCAGCCATGAGCACGGCCTTGTGGAAGAGACCCTCTGTTTGGGGTGTGACCAGCAGCAGTTGCACGGCCATGCTGCCAGAGCTGTGCCCAAAGAGGGTGATCCTTTCGGGATCGCCATTGAAATTTCGGGCATTTGCCTTGATCCATTTGAGGGCTAGAATGAGGTCCTTGAGGCCAGCATTTCCGGGAATCTCCAGCGATGGATCCGCAAAGGAAAGGAAACCTAAGAAATGAGAGATATAAAAGATGCCTCCTCTTCAAGCTCCACTCACCCAAAGGACCCAATCGGTGGCCAATGCTTATGTGAATGACATTCTCGCGCATGAAATAATCCGGTCCCCAGGCGCGCCGTGAAGCATCGCCGCCCTTGAAGCCTCCACCATGGACGTAGACCATCAGCGGCAAGGGCTCTTCGCTTTTCAACTAAAGAAAGAAATCCATAAAACAGAATCCTCTCAAGTTAAACCCAAAATTTCTCACCGTTTTCATAGAGATATTCAGATATAGACAATCCTCGGAGCCCTCCACTTGCTTTGTATAGCTGCTCACTTGGATGCACTTGTCCTGCGGCTTGCTACAGTCCCGTATCCCATGCCAGGGCTTCAGCGCATGAGGCTCCTTAAATCGTAGTGTACCCAACGGGGGAACAGCATATGGTATGCCATCAAAGCCATAAAACTCCTCATCGTATAGGGTTTTTAGCAGCACACCACGCACTCGGCCATGCGTTGTCTCCACCACTGGGGAGGTGGCTTCACTGCTGCAAAAGTGGAAAGAGAAGTGCAACTAACAGAACAATTCGATGGCTAATGAATATACTCACTAGTCGGCCATCGTATCTGTACGCCAACAGCCTCAAACATAGACTGAAACCCCCTCTTCAGCGTCCATAACATTATCGAGCAAACGGATTGAGATAGCAGCAGCTTATCAACCTGAAAATATACTGATCGTTCTCTCTGTCGTATCTCAAAACAGCACAAACAAAGCAGAGACAAGAGGCTATCGTGGGTGCCCACTATTTGGAAATTTTTTAATGCACTTGGAATTTCGACAAAACATTGAAAAGGCATTTTTTTGAAGTGCTAGTCCTTGATTTTGCAAACATTCTCCCACACCCGCACCTTCTGTAGTTCCGGCAACTCAATCAGTTTGATGCTTTCCGAAATATTAAGGCACTCAACGGTCAATTGTCGGCTGTCCAAGGGCATCCATTGTTTGGTTCGCGGCAGCTGCTCTGCGACTTTCGGGCAATTGGGATTCGAGCTACGAGCGAAGCTTGTGAAAATATCAATCATCCGTTCTATGGTTAGAAATTCTGGCGTATGTTTGTCCAGTTTCCAGGCGAAGTTGCCGAACCACAGATACGAATGATCATCCACATGGGCCACGCCCCGCAGCTTGTCCCCCACATACTTGATGCGCTGATGATTAAATGTCGGCGAATCGAAATCAAAGCGGTACAGGTAGGTAGGGGCCGTACTGTGGCGCAGACGTGAACGCAGCAGCCTCACAATGGGCAGCCAGAAGACCTTGTAGCTGGCGTACTACAACAATATATGGGAATAGTTGAGAGATCAACACAATAAGAGATTCCCTTACCTCGCAGTAGGCCAAAACACCCTCTGGCGACATGGCTAGAGCGTTCTCCCCGAAATGCGTCACCTGCAGACGCTGGCCCAAGCTTCGGGCGAGAGCCTGTGGCAGGGCACGCTTCACATCCAGCGGCAGCATATGCTCCGGCTGATCCTTCAGGCTGGTCAGCAGATAGGGTGCCACAAACACGCGAGCATACATCAGGAGCCCCTCAAAAGAGGTGCCACCCATCAGCAGGGGAATCTTGTTGCCCCAGGCAGTGGCCAGCAGTTCAGCAGGCTGCTTGGGCAGCACACAGTGATCCGTTTTGTAGGGCTCCACCATGGGCCCGAACTGGAACACACAGTCGTCCATGTGCTCGGCCTGACTCAGCAGATACGGCTTCACCAATTTCTCCCCCGGCATGGCTTGCAGATAGTCCAGGATCATGGCATCGGTGGCGGCATGCGCATTCTCCATTCCCAGATTTTCAGCCAGCCGCTGCGGCATGTCGGTTATCGGAAATTGGGCCCATGTGCACAGTACATTTCCCGACTGCAGAATGGCCTTCTGGAACAGTCCGTCCGCCTTGGGATTCAACATCAGATAATGGACAGAGGCCGCCCCGGCACTCTCCCCAAACGCCGTCACATTATTGGGATCTGCATTGAAACTGGCCGCATTCGCCGTGATCCATTGGAGGCCCAGCAGTTGGTCCTTGAGACCAGCATTGCCGGGCACGCCCACGGCGGGATCGTTCAGACTGAGAAAGCCCAAGGGCCCAACTCGATAGGAGATTGTGACCACAACCACATCGCGCATCATAAAATAGTCGGGACTGTGCAAGTCAGTGGTGGGGTCGCCCTTCTCAAAACCGCCGCCAAAAAAGAATACAATCATCGGCAGTGGATTCGCTGAATGGAGCTGCAAACAGAGTGACTCATTATCTACAGCAAAAGTATAGAGTATAAAGTATAGCCCTACCTCTTTGGCATAGACATTCAAATACAGGGAATCCTCGACGCCCTCCAGCTGCTTGCTGTAGTGATTGAACTGCAGCGGCTTCGGGCCCTTCTCCGTGCAATCCAGAGGCTCCGTCCAGGGTATCACCGGCAACGGGGCCATGAAACGTAGACGTCCCACCGGCGGCTGGGCATACGGAATGCCCTCGAAACTCACGTACTCGTCGCCATAGACGCCCGTGCAGCGTCGCCCCACCACAGGGCCGCTCTGTGTCTGCACCTGAATGCTATCATCAGATCTAGATATAAACGGCTGTTCAATCGGAAGAGAACTAGTGGAATTGTACTCACCTCTCCATGTCTGGCGGTTGAATAAAAAACTTTACACTTTAGCGCTTTTTATCTAACGAAATGCACACATTTATGGCACTTCGTTTTATCGCGCAATGCGAGAGAGGGCTGGTTAGGAAAACAACAACATGAACGATGACCGCACGAATTCACTGAGACAGCTGATATTTCAGTTTTGCTTTGCTTGCTTTCTCACAAAAGCTTTGTACATATACTAATACTATACTTTTATGGCTGTTTTCATAGTATTTGTTTATTATTTTGTTGAGCGAGCGGCCAGCGACTGCGACGCGGACGCTGACGACCGGTGCCGTTATAAACAGAGCTGCCAACTGCGAGGTGGATTGACGGGCTGGCAGGCCTAAGCCAGGGCTACTGTTATACTATTTATATTATTTTAAAAAATACAAAATTATTGTACACAAATCTTGGATTCAAGAACCATTAAATAATACAAGAATAACTACTTACAATATAATTATAATGTTTTACCATTTTTGTAAAACTGCAGCCCTGGCAAGCAGACAGAAGAAAATATAATAGATTTATTTTATGATCATTCTCTTTCGGTTAAATATATATAAATATATAAATTAAACACTTCAATGCCCTTACATTTGCACTTTACAATAAATATTTCGTCTTGATGATCTTCTCCCACATCTTCAGCTTTTTCAAATTCGGCACCTCCATCACTTTGATAGTGTCCGAAATGTTGAGGCACTCGAAATCGTCCACTATAGGCTTCCATTTTATCGTAGGATGAAGCTGCGTGAGGACACTCTGGCAGTTGGGATCAGAGGTCTCGGCGAAGGTGGTCACAATATCAATCATGCGTTCGATGGTCAGATATTCAGGCATATCTTTTTGCAGCTTCCATGAGAAGTTTCCAAACCACAGATACGAATGGTCGTCGTAATGGCATGTGCCAACCGAGTCTTTCCCGCAACACTTGATACGTACATGATTAAACGTCGGCGAGTCATAGTCGAAGCAATAGAGATACGTGGGGGCCAGGCTAGGGTCTTGGCGTGACCGGATTACATCCATTATGGGTAACCAGAAGTGCTTGTCGCTGATGTACTATACAGATACATAGAGATAGTTGAGAGATCTTGGCTAACAAACAGGAATGAGGGCAATTCTTACTTCGCAGAAGTTCACCTCTCCCTCCATCGACTCCATCGGTGCGGTCGTCCCGAAATACATCGCCTGCACGGACAGGCCCAACTTTCGGGCCGTGACACGTGGCAGGACCCGCTGGAGATCAAACGGCAGCAAACGCTGAGGCTGATTTTTAAGAATTTTCAATACGCTTTTCAAGTCTTTCGAGATCATTACGCCGAATACCATTAGACCCTCGAAGGAGGTGCCACCCATAAGAACGGGAATCTTGTTGCCCCAGGCAGTGGCCAGCAGATCAGAGGGATTCTTGGCCAGCACACAGTGATCAGTTTCGTAGGGCTCCACAGTTGGCCCCAACTGGATTATAAAACCATCCAGGAGCTCAGAAACATTTATCTGACGGTTCTCCATCAGCCTATGCCCCGGCTGGACTTGCAAATAGTCCAAGATCATGGCATCGGTGGCGGCATCCACATTGTCCATTCCCAGCTGGTCGGCCAGCCGCCTCGCCATTTGGGTTGCTTTCGGACAAACAGCCCACGGACATAGCGCATTGCCCGACTGCAGAATGGCCTTATGGAACAGTCCCTCCGCCTTGGGATTCAGCATCAGATAATGGACAGAGGCTGCCCCGGCACTATCGCCAAACGCCGTCACATTATTGGGATCTGCATTGAAACTGGACGCATTCGCGGAGATCCATTGGAGGCCCAGTAGCTGATCCTTGAGCCCAGCATTGCCGGGCACGCCCACGGCGGGATCATTGAGACTGAGAAAGCCCAAGGCCCCGACTCGATAGGATATCGTGACCACAACCACATCGCGCATCATAAAGTAGTCGGGACCGTTCATGTCGGTCGTGGCATCGCCGATTTCAAAGCCGCCTCCAAAGAAGTAGACGAGCAGCGGCAGTGGTTTCGGTGAATGGAGCTGCAACAAGGATAATCATGATCAATCAGCTCCGTGACCTATGTACACACCTTCCTGGCATACACATTCAAATACAGGCAATCCTCAGCACCCTCTATAAACTTCTTTTCGTGCATTTGCAACGGCTTCGGGCCCTTCTCCGTGCAATCCAAAGGCTCCGTCCAGGGTGTCACCGGCAACGGCGGCATGAAACGTAAACGCCCCACTGGCGGAAGGGCATAGGGAATTCTCTCGAAGCTCACATACTCGTCTCCATAGACGGCTGTGCGGCGTCGGCCCACCACAGGGCCACTCTCTGTCTGCACCCGAATGGGCGGAATAAAAGAACTATTGTATTTCATTTTATTCATTTCGTTAAGCACGACGGTTGACGCATTGTTTTAAATTCTTCTGCCCGAAAAACCCGAGCTGTAGACTTCGATGCGGTGCTGCCTGGTCAGCAGTTACAAACCACGCCTTCTGTAGAGATTCTGTGATTAACAATTGTACCATAAAATGCATATGATTGTTTCCACTTTGCACCTCACTTTGTTTACATATAATTTAAAAGAAAATCTGTATTTTCAAAATTTTTTTCCAAGGTACTTGTATTAGTTTTTTTTGTAATACTGCAGCCCTCGTAATTAACATGGGCTTTGCTGCAATTAACAGAGCTGTCACAGCGCTCCAACAACAAAAAGTCGCTCATGACAGCGCTGCGAAATGCGTTTCTTGGTGAGGGCTGCAGTGACACGGGAATATTTTTATGAATTTTAAATATTTATATCTAGAACTCTTATAAATACTTTTATTACAGGATTTGATAGTCCTGAACCAATTTAAAATACATTGATACATTTTATACATTTCGTTGATGTGCCAGCCCTGGTACAGCTTTTCGCTAAAACAAAATCAGCCGTTATCAGCAGTCTCTCTTGCTGTGCTGCTTTGTGCTGGCCATACCAGGGAGCCTGCAACAGTTGTCTTTGTCAATTTCCAAAAACTTTAATTAGTTTTTTGTGGAAAAATTATCAACAAATATTTAAATTACATTTAATTCGAAAAAAAAACATTTCTAGTTGGCTTTCGTAGTATTGTACTGCAGCCCTGCATTGCCAAAACAAACAAACATACGTTACTACACTGAAAGAAACAAAGTGCGAGCTTTGCTACATCTAAATATAAGCTTTTTCAGTGCTAAAATTAGGTTTATTATAGTGCGAATGTCAGAGCAGGGCACCGTTTGAGCGCAATTCTATTTTTATTGCGCATTTCGCTTAAATACAATGACGCAAAATCGTAGCGGTGCTGAATACATGCATAATTATGTACACGCATGCACACGTAGAGATCACCAAACAGCTGGGTCGTGTGAATGTATTCACGTGCGCTGCCGCGGCCGGACCGGCTGGCTGGCTACGTCGCGAGACGTCTATCTTACCCGGAGCGCCAAAAATCGCCGGCAATCGCAGTCGCATCACGGATCCCATCCAAACCTATGCGATTTCAGTCGCATCTGGCCAGCCAGCCTTATTGGATCCAGCGGTCCGCGCCTTTACCTCATAGAATTGGAAAATCCAATACCGTATTTTGGAGAACATCATTCCGTACACAACAAAATTCGCAGCAACACGAAAAGATGGAAGTCCAAGTAGGCTGGCAGAAATTGCTCAAAATGGGGGCCAAGTGAGTACAAGAGTGCAGCGGGCGACCGGCGGCCAGGAGTCCACAAGTCCATTGCGAAGGTCAGGGTCGCGGGGGAGACTTTGCACCTCGCGCGACCTGCACCCGACTGGGCAATGTGGGGGCTATCATCCAGTTTCCTTATCGCTTACTATACCACCTTTGCCATCGTGTCAGTCGCCGTCTAATCACTAATCACAGTCCTCCTCCAACCCCCCCAATAGGCTCGTTGGGCACAAGTACCAGCAGTACCGGCTGGCCACCAACAACACCGTCGTGCTGGACACGGAAAATGGCCAGGTGATGGGGCTGCAACGCAAGACCCTCTACGACGAGGAGCTGTACTATGCCTTCGAGGGCATACCGTATGCAAAGGCACCCATTGGAGAGCTGCGTTTCCGTGCCCCCGAGCCGGCAGAGCCCTGGAAGGGTGTGCTCAACTGCACCACCTATCGATCGAAGCCCATGCAAAGGAATATGGTGATGGGCATAATCGAGGGTTCCGAGGACTGCCTGCATTTGAATGTGTATGCAAAGACGCTGCAGTCGGAGCAGCCACTGCCCGTCATCGTGTGGATCTATGGCGGTGGTTTTCAGAAGGGCGAGGCCTCCAGGGACATCTACAGCCCTGACTATTTCATGAAGCAGCCAGTGGTCTTTGTTTGCATCAACTACAGGCTTGGAGCTTTGGGTAAACCGTCGAATGAATCCTTTTTTCGCAGTTCCACTAAAGAAATTTTATATTTTGTAGGTTTTCTTAGCCTTAAGGACCCCAAACTGAATGTGCCCGGCAATGCAGGGCTCAAGGATCAGGTGATGGCCCTGCGCTGGATCAGCGACAACATTGCTCACTTCAATGGCGACCCCGACAACATCACACTAATGGGCGAGAGTGCTGGGGCCGCCTCCACGCATATCATGATGACCACCGAACAGACGCGTGGCCTCTTCCACAAGGCCATCCTCCAGTCGGGCTGTGCTCTGAGCGAATGGGTGGAGAGCCCCGACCACCAGTGGGCGTATCGGTTGGCCCAGCAGATGGGCTACAAGGGCGGCGAAAAAGATGCGGATGTCCTGAAATATCTCACCAAAATATCGGCCCGCCAGATAGCAAACACGGACCAGGACATCATCACCAGAGAGGAGATACGCAGCTTCTTGTTGTTCGCCTTTGGGCCAGTGGTGGAGCCGTACGAGACGTCACATTGTGTGGTGCCGGTCAGGCACAAGGACATGCTGCCCCATGCCTGGAGCAATGACATTCCCGTGATTGTGGGAGGCAACTCTTTCGAGGGCCTCTTCTCGTATCAGCTCCTGCGCGGCGATCCCTGGGCACAGAGCCATTTCCACAACATCATTCCACGCGAGGTGAGCGAGGCGGCCACCGAAGAGCAGCGCGACGAGCTGGTGCGACGCCTCAAGAAGGTCTACTTCGACGACGAGAAGCGCGATAAAATGGGGTTCTTTGAGGCCTTGAACATATTCTCGCATCGCCAGATCTGGCACGATCTGCATCGCGTGGTCATGTCCCGCCTTGCCTACGCCCCCACACAGCCCACCTACCTCTATCGGTTTGACTTTGATTCGCCGCACTTCAACCAGTTCCGTCGCTTGGTCTGCGGCGATCGCATCCGTGGTGTGTCCCATGCCGATGAGCTCTCCTACATGTTCTACAACATCATATCGCCAAAGATCAGCAAATCCTCGCAGGAATACCATACAATTGAACGTATGGTAGGCATGTGGACAGCATTTGCAGCCACCGGAGATCCCAATTGCCCGGCCATTGCCCCCGCCGAATGGCTGCCCGTTGAGCGGACCGAAAACGGTGTAGAGCATTGCTTGAACATCAGCCAAAAGCTGGAGATGATCGAGCTTCCCGAGGCGGAAGCACTGGCCGTGTGGGACAGTTTCTATACCAAAGAGGCGCTCTATTAGGCTTCATAAATTTAGTGTGTGTATATTATAAGGTTTTCCTGTAGTCCCAAAGATTGTTACCAAAATTTTAGTGTACAAAAAGAATTGTATTTCGAGTGTAAATAAGAATTAAAGTGATTTTCATATAAGAATTGTAAGGCGATAAGATTTAAACACTTTATTTTATATATTTTTTTACAAAAAGCTTTTCTTTCCCCTCCTCCACCCAGTAACAGTGCCCCACTCTCTGGCTTATGAAACATTTTTCACTGCGTGCCTTAATTAATCCACATTTATTTACTTAATTACCCCCATCCAGTTATACATTATAGACATTTCAGCGGTCAGGAGGCCAGACCTCCACACACGACAAGCGAGTGTCAAGTTTAAGGTGACTCGATGGAAAACTACTTGTCGGAGCCGCCAGCCCCCGGAATTCGAAATGCACATAAACCAGTTCTGGGACTAGGCTAACTACAGTGGCACCCATCTAGATGTCTAGACTAATTTTTAATGCAATAAAACTTGTATTTTTCACAAGTTAAACAGACTCCGTTGTACAAGATATGTATTCCAGCGTAATATCCACACAAATCATCAGAGATACATCCACGCGAATGGCACTGGCCACTTCTAGAGCTACTTATTATTACATTTCATTATTGTTCTGCTTATCGTAAAGTCTATCCCACATACGAAGCTGCTTCGTTTCGGGCAGCTCAAAGAACTCCAAATTGTGTCCAATGTTGAGGCACATCTGTGGACCATTGGTGTCCAAAGCATCCCACATCACGGGGGATATTTGCGGACAACTGGGATTATCATTCGCGGCAAAGGCTGTCCACATTCCAATCATCCGCTCAATGGTGCGGTACTCCATCGAAGACTTGTCCAGCTTGGTGGCCAGCAGCAAGTAGAACAGGTAGGAGACGTCGTCGCCATGGCTAACGCCGCGTACATGGCGGCCACACATCACCGTTCGGAAGTGATTAAAGTGCGGGGAATCAAAGTCGAAGCGGTACAGGTAGGTGGGCGTGGTGGGGGCCAGGGCCAGGCGGGAGAGCACCGTGCGGTGTATTCCATGCCAGAAGTGCTTGATGGACAGCAGGTGGAGACACTCGTTGAACTCCATCCGTCCGCGCGTGGCATCATCGAAGTTCGAGATCTTAAATTCCCTTATCAGATCCTTGAGCTCCGCGGGAGTCACCTGGTCGCGGACCTCCCGTGGTATTAGCGCCTCAAAGGCGCTGAGCATGTGATCGGCATCCTGCATGGTTGACTGGTAGGAGAACAGACCCTCAAACGAGTTGGCGCCAATGATCAGGGGGATATCATTGCCCCAGGCATCGGCGACCATCTCGCGATGTGGCTTGGGCATCACGCAAGCGCTGGTCACATACGGCTCCACCACTGGCGTGAAGGCAAACAGGACATAGTTGCGCTTCTCCTCCTGCGTGATCAAAGCAATGCAGTGCGTCGCCAAGTCACTGGCGGAGGCGCGTTGCAAGTACCGGAAGACCTCCTTTTCATTCTCGCTGCCGGAATACCCGATGGAGCAGGCGAGCCGATAAGCCCAGTTCCCACGTGGCTCGCTGGCCCACTCGCTGTACATGGAACCCGACTGCATGATGGCCTTGTGGAAGAGTCCGCGCGTCTGTTCCGTGGTCATCATCATGTGCGTGGAGGCGGCTCCAGCACTCTCGCCCATCAGCGTGATATTATTTGCGTCGCCATTGAATTGCGAGATGTTTTCCCGCACCCAGCGCAGGGCCAACACCTGATCCTTGAGTCCCGCATTGCCGGGCACGTCCAAATCGCGATCGGCAAGGCTCAGGAAACCTATAAATAGAGGTTAATGGGAAGTCTAATCATTTTGTTTACAATTATTGTTTGAGGGGCTGCCAACTTGGGGAAATTAATTGCTTGTTATGACGGCAACAATGGCCGCAAGCAGTTTTAATGATTATAAAATCGTTTGTGGCCGCTATATATGTACATATATAATCAACGGTACTTTCTGTTCGATTGAGATAGTGCCCGTAACATGCAATTAATCTTGCTGCACTTGAAATTTTGCTTGAAATTAAGTTGGCATGTCTCATGCCATTGCAATTAATTAGAGGGTGGACCCTGGCATGACGTCACAAAAAGGCGGCCGGGGGGAGAACATGGAAATCTTAATTGGCGTGACGTCAGAAAAGCTGCAGGTGCAGAAGGCAAATGGACATTTATGTATGTTGTTTTCATTTAATTGGAATTAGGCAAATAAAATATGATAAGTCCCTAGGGCAAAGCCATTTCATGTTATTTAAATGAATAAAATAAAATAAATATTGGTTTTTCGACACGTTGGCAGCCCTGCAATAAGTTGGCAGCATTTGCATTGAAAGATCCACAATTATTGATTTCTAATTCGATTTTCGACTAATTGGACTCACCTAAGGCACCCACGCGGTAGTTAAACGTGACCAGGATCACATCCTGCTTCATAAAGTAATCCGGACTGTAGAAATCCCTGGAGGCTTCGCCGATCTGAAAGCCACCGCCGTAGATCCACACCAAAACCGGCAGCGGCTGCTCCGTGTCCAACTTTTTGGCGTAAACATTCAGATACAGACAATCCTCGGAACCCTCGACGATGCTCAGCACGAAATGCTTCTGCATGGGCTTGGCCCGAGGATACGTGCAGTCGCGTATGCCCTGCCAGGGCTCTGCCGGCTCCGGGGCTCGGAAACGCAGCTCCCCCAGCGGGGGCTGGGCAAACGGTATGCCCTCGAAGGCAAAGTACAGCTCCTCGTCGTAGAGGGTCTTCCGGCGCAGACCCTTCACCTGGCCGTTCCTAGTACTGATGACCCTCGTCTGCTTGGTGGCCAGCCGGTATTGTACGATCTTGTGGCCCACCAGCCTGCAGAGGGTTAAGGCAGAGAGAGAGAGAGAGAATTTGGTTTTTATTAATGAGTGTTTTTGTTCTTATCTTATCACTCAGAGGGAATTTCGCCGGTTCCACGCGTTTGGAAATCCACTCGAAGCAATCAGAGGGTGTAATTGGTGGATCGACTGGGATGATGAGCCCCCACCCCCGGAGGGGGGAGCCGATTGACCTACTTGGTGCCCATTTTCATCAGATCGCCTACGCCCACACGAATTTCCATATCTTGCGTGCGTTTCGTACTTATTTAGTTATTAATTTGTGGTAATTTTAGGGTTTAACTTCCGTCGCTTGCAATCAACGAGGAAATACTGAAAGTACACACTGCCACGATAGAACCAGACCAGACCAGACCCGTCCGATCCCAATCTATCAGTTCGACTGCGACTACACGTCTGAGTGTAGCTCAGAGTGCAGCCTCAATTCAGTTTGTGGGGTTTAATCACGCCCGACCGACGCTTATCGCGAATGTACAAGCGAAACATATGGTGGCACTTGTTGGGGGGGAGAATATGCCTCGATTGATAAGACGCCACCACAGAGAGGGAGGGAGACAGAGAGAGATAGAGAGAGCGGGTGTTGCTCTGTTCTGGAAGACAAGCAGAGCAGTGCCAGCTGTTTTCATGTACAATTTGTAATTACTTTTTAATGATCCCAGAGTAGTACAAAGTCGGTTTTTATCTGGCAGAGTGTCGGAGCTGAAGCCCCTCCATTTACGATCGAGCAGCAGTCAAGGTTCAGGCATAAGCTACTGAGATGCTTATTCAGTAATTCCATAATTGACACTCGCACAAAAGTGTATTGTTATTACTTTAATGAAACCCTTGACATGCTGCGAATGTTGCGACGTTCAAAAGTGAAAGCTGCGCGCGCTAATAGCCTGTACTGCTTGCATGCGGCAGTGCACTGCTTGTATGTCCACCTGCGCAAGCTGTTGGCGCTGCAAATGCAACTCTTCCTTTGAACTTCTTCCTCTCTAGCTCACACACCTTGCAGCCATCTCCTTGGTTTTTGCGTTTTTTTTTTATTGTATTTCATTGTGGTTTGCTGAAGTTTTCTTGCTAAATAAGATGCGGAAATTCTATGCTAAACTCCAGCCATTGCCGTCTCTAATCGAATGCTGATCTAATTCTGAAATTATATGCATTTTTGTGGCTTAAAGGAAGACTTGGAGCCGACGCGTCGCGGCAGTGCCGTGTTTTTTTGTTTACATAGACTTTTGTTTATTAGCCGTCATTCATTTTGGTTTATTCTTTATGGGGATCATTTTTGTTATCAGTCGGTGACCTTGGGTGTCTACTTGGTGGTACAAAATTTGGAAAACATCTAAAACCTTGCATTCAAAAAGTCATCTGTTTCATGGTGCAAGGTAGCGCCTTGCGTGACGTCACAACCAAGCCAAGGTGTGTCTGTGCTGCAGGTAGAATATTTATGCTTTAGAAATCCCAAATCAAAAATTCTTGATCACATCAGCAAATTTCGTTAGCCCTCCAAATTCGATTAACGAAAGTTCTCAAACTTTTCCTCAATTATATTTGATTTTTGGGACAATTTTCAATCAATAAAAAAGTGGATATAAAACTCGTGAAAACTTTCAACAATTCAAAATTAAAAAGCAAAAGCTATAACTTTTACAAGCGGTAAAAAAAAACATCTTCCATATGCAATTATAATTTTGCTTCATAGGCAAAAAAGAAGTACAAAAAAAAGTTTATTTACGCATAAACGATTTTGATTAATTCCCCAAAGAGGAAGGCCCTACAAAACGGGAAGCGAGGGAGTAGGGAGGGCCCTCAGCTAATTAAAAAATTGTCATAAATCCCCCAGAGTTTAACCCATTTACAGTCGACTGGTCTGTTGAGAAATGGCCGAAAAGAAAGGGATTCCCTCCCACCCACACCCACAGCCAGCCCACCCCACCCCACCCACAGCTACTTAATTACACTTGCGCGCACTTTAATTTCCATTTAAGAAAAAAATTGCCCACCCAAAAAGAAAATGTAAATTTTTGTTGCCTCCCCCCACCACCCCATCCCTTTGAGAGAAGAAAAGTCAAGGCGAGAGCCGAAACATTGTAAATTATAGGCTTAAAAGAAAAGGCACGGCAAGACAAGGCTTCCTTCTTCTCCAGAAGCTCCATGGCACAGCAGCTTATTAAATTATACTCGCGAGATGAGGGGCGGGGGGGTTTTCCGTGAGGTGTGGGATGTGGTCTTGAATTTCCAACACTCCTAATCTCGATTTAAGCCAAGTATCAGGCACAGGCGGCTGCTCCTGTATCAAGTGAATTCAATGTCAAAAGGGTTAATTGAAAGTGCCAGGAAATTGGAGGAGTCACAGGAGCTGGAGGACACGACAGGAGAGTAACCCCAGAGAGAAAGAGAGAGAGAGTGACAGGGGGGGTAGCCTCCACATGGGGCAGGGTGTATGCAGTAGTCATAAAAATCAAAGTCCATAAACCGGAGACCCAGAGAGACACCGACCCACCGCAGTCCATAAAAAATAAAGTTTTTTCCCCATTTTGCTTATTGCAACCCCTGGGATTTACCCTTAGACCATAAAAATATATCCCTACGTCCCTGCCTTACCCTTCCCCTTCCCTATCCTCTCAACTATTTAGAGAATTTGAAATGCAGACAAATTTGTATGCGTCAAAGAAAAATTATGCCGCTTTTTGGGGGAATTTGTATTTTTGATTGTACATTTGGGTAGATTTTCATTGGAAAACCATTTCAAAGATCCATTGGAAAAGTACCCCTTTTGGTGGGAAATCCCTTCCATTGAAGTCTTTTAATTAAACTAAAACGAAACCTCATGCGAAAACAATTGAAAAATCTTAGAAAAAAAATGGCTCCTGCATCTGAAGGGTTTTAATATAGCGAGTAGGAAAATGGAAAATGGAAACAAAGTAAAGATGGGCCCTCAAGGGGGGGGAGAAAGTACCCAAAAGAAAAGGTGGAAAAGGTTTAAATTAACTTTTGTTGAGGATTTCTTAGATGGACTCCGCTGAAGGAGTTTGTGCCCCATCAATGGTTGAATAATGAACTACCTCCGCGTTGTATTATTAAGTGAATGCTTTTTGATCTTACGATGGCAAATTACAAGCTACAAGACACCCCTCCAGCTCCCTCCAGCAACAATGAAACATTATCCAGTGTCGTCCTCCACTTGGTGTTATATATAACACTTTCAATTTGATAAGCAGCCTGACTGCGGGGGATGCCCCCTAGCCAGCGCCATCGCCATCCCCAGCGCCATCTTCATCCACAGCTCTGCTCTGGCATAGTCGTCATTTGCCAAGTTTCCACTGTCATTGTCTGTGGTGGCATTTGTAATTCACTTTGATTAAATATGCAAGGGGATGCTCTATGGACTGACTGTGACTGCCTGCCTGCCTGACTGCCAGACGAGGACCGCATTCAAATGCCGCAACAATGCAACGACGACAGTCAAGGGACACTGGGACCATGACGAGAGTCCAGAAAGCAGAAACCCCAGACCACCCCCCAAGCAGTGGCAGCAGGAGTAGGAGGTCCTTTAGTCAGTCGCCAAGAAAGCGCAAAACAAGTTTGTGAAATTTTCGGCAACGGAGGCAACGGCAACGGCAACGGCGTGTCCTCTGACAGGATATAAAACAATCAGTGCAAGCCAGCGGAAACGGAAGTGTAACCCCAACCCCCCACGCCACTCTCCCCTTTCTCTCTCCCCTTTCTCTGTTGTGTGAATTTGTCTAAATTGTGGGCGTGGCTCTGGCTTTCTCTGTGCTGGTTTGGGCTTTTGTGAAATGTAGTCCAAAAGTTGTTTTGTGGCCGCCTCAAAAGATAGCCCCCTGACTAAACCACACTTTTGGATCCTCGCATTCTCTCGCTCTCTCTCTCTCGCTCTCTCTCTCTCTCTATCGCTCGTCGTCCTTTGACTATTGTCTCTGTATTTTTCACTGTGTGTGTCATCTCCCATTTCTGGCGGTGTCTTGATTGCATTCGTTGGGAATTTTCTACCAACAGTGGGGTTTATTAATGTTTTAAATTGAAATTTCACGCTTTGCTGCGTTATGCCTGTGTTCTCAGTGAAAATGTATCCCCAAAAGGTAGATTTGAATGCAGATTTTAGGCAATTAAATAAAAGAGAAAAGGTAAAAGGGAAATACAATGGAATTATTGTAAGTTCATGAAGGGAAAATAGTGGAAAACTGAATCTTAAATGCCGAATAGTTACGGAAAACACGCAATTCAGAAGACCTCACCTTTAATTAATACACCTTTTGCTAGGCTCATTCTCTCGTCCACCCCCCCCACCCTCAACGCGCTTTTTTCGGGGCTTCACTAAAAGCAAACACAACAGCAGGCGTCGCTGTGATTGGATGTGTGTGTGTGTGATAAATTCGATACGAACCGAGATCAGGGTACAACAGGGTAAACAGGTGCTGCCCATGAGAATCGCACCGAAAGCTCGTGTAACAAAACGCCGAAAAAGCCTCACCTCGCATTAAGTTCTTGTTCTACACCCACTCCACTACCACAACGATCGAAACATACACCCACACAGTGCAATGCAAGCAAATCCGCTCTCAAATACTCTCACAAAACGATTGAAACAAATCCGCTCTTAAAAACTTTCCCCGACTTCGGTTCCACTGCATTCGGTGGTTGACGGAAGAGAACAACATGCATACAACATACATAAGTCCCATTTAATCTGCCAGAATAGCGGAATATGTTCGGAATGCTATACAAAAACGCGTGCGATAAGTGTAGCAAGTGCTTAAAAGGAAAATCTTTCGAAAAAGTGTTGTGAAAAGCCGGTAAATTGACCAATTGTATGGTGAAAAGCCGGAAAATGTAAAAAATGATCGCTGCATGTGTTCATTGTATTTTTTTTCTGTTCGAAAATTCTATTGAGTTGCAGTTTTTGGTGTACGTTTTAAGCTGTGGGAATGTATGGAAAGAAAGAACAGCAAATGCAACGGAGCCAAGCCACGAGGCTGCTTGCCGTTTGAGTTTTTTGTTTGGTTTTCTTTTCTATGAGAGTGAGAATAGAATAAAATGCTGCGATCAAGTGCGTCAGTGTCTGCAGGATGGAAGGGAGTAAACGGCGAGGATGGAGTCAAATGCGGCGATTTGTGCATAAAGTGAGTGAAATAAAATGTACCGCAAGAACTATATAAAGGAGCGGCAAAAAGTGCAAAGCCAAAAAGTGAGTGAAAGTGTTAAAGTGAGATCAAGTGTTAATTTTTTCTGTGAGAGCAAGTGGTGGATGGTCAATAAGACGGCAAGGGGTGCCAGACGGCAAGCAGTAGAAGGCGAAAGAAAAAATAAAGAGCGGCAATATTGAGCCTAATGCATGGCAGAAAAGTAAAAGTAACAGCACCAAATGAGTGTTTT